ATCTACTTTATATATAAATACTTATTTAAGTAATAAAGGTTTAGATATTATCTCTAAAGCGTTAATTAGCCTCTAGATTTCTTTCTCTATTAGCTTATTAATTTTAATAAAATAAGCCTTTTTAAATAGGGATTTTGAATTCTTAAGAAGTTTCTATATATCTTTAAAGCTTCTTAGTAGGTCTAGAAGTTTAGAGACAAGATACTTCTTACTTAGTTTAGAGAATAGTCTAGTGTATATAGCGCCTTAAATTAACCTTATTATAGTTATATAAAAGGTTTAATATATATAGTTTAATTCTTTAATTACTTTTTACTAATTAAGTATAAAAGTATTAAAAAAATTATCTTATTCTTTATTTATAAAGTAAAAAGTTATCTTTATTTTATTTTATAGAACTATTATATTATAAGTAAGTCTTATACTATCTAAGTACTTATATCTAAGTAGTAGTCTAGTTTTATTATATAGGAGGAAGTTAATAAGTCTTTTCTATGTCTTCTAGACTAGCCTTTATTCTCCTCTTTAGTCTTAGGCAGTAATCCTCTAGTTTAATAACTTATTTTAATAGTAAGGTTTAGCTTTTTACCCTTAAGCTACTATAGCTCTATATATATATAGTCTTCTAGTACTTCTTTCTAGGCTAAATAGCCTTTTTACCTAGAAGGTAACTAGTTTTAATCTATATAATATTCCTTTTACACTATTATAAGGTTATTATTTATTTAGATATAAATTATATCTTTAATTCTTTCTCTTAATAAAGATTAGCTAAAAGTATTATATAGGTACTACTTTTATTTTTATAAAGTCCTCTAGTAGTTAGCCTTTTATATATCTTTACTTATAATAATAGGTTTAGTAACTAGCTCTAGATCTAGTGTAGACTTTAGTAATAGAAGATTTCTTTTATAAGTTATATTAGTAATATAGGTTCTATAACTTTATTAGTTAGTATATTTACTTTAACTATTATTTTAGAAGGGTTTTTATTAAAGGATCTATTAGATCTATAATACCTAAAGCTTTAAGTACTATATTTAAATTTATAGAAGGTGTCTTAAGCTTAATAATTTCTTATATAACTTTTAGTTTAATTATAAGATAAGAATCCTCTAGAGTATAGAACTTTATTTTATTAAAAGTTATATTTTAGATAATAAATACTTAATAAAGTAATAAAACCTAAATCCTATATAGGTTATATATATTTAATATATAACCTACTAGGTACTTAATATACCTTAGGGAACTACTTTAAAAAGCCTTTCTTAATACCTTTCTCTTTTTTACACTTTAGAGGATAAGTATAGTAACTATATATATATAACTAGCCCTAATATAGACATAGATCCTAGGTTATACTTATATTTAAAGTTAGCTAATACTATCTAAAATATTATTAGTACTAAGCTTCTTTTACTTTAACTAAGGATTTCTAGTTATTATGTTTTTAGAGGCTTATACTAATAACATAGGCTACTACTATTACTACTTTAGGCTATAAATTAGTTAGTAAGTTTACTATAGATATTATCTTAATTAAATAAGTAATAATTTCCTAGCTAGCTCTCTTATCCCTTTAATAGGTTCTTTAGTATAAGGTAAAAATAGCTTTACTTCTATACTAAGTTCTTATATCTACTGTTTATAGAGAGTATAGCCTTATATACTAATTATAGTATACTTAATATCTTGTTAGATCTTATAAATTAATAGACCTTTTTGCTTTTATATCTACTATTTAAATAGTTAAATTACTTTAAAAACCTAGTTATAGGTCTTATTAACTCTTAAGAAAATAAATAGCTAACCTAAATATTTATTTTAATAATAAGTATCTAGCTTATATTATTAAAGCTAGTTAGATAATTAAATAAGTCCTATAAAATATAATAGTATAGTTATATTAACTTTACTTTAATATTTATCTTAAAATTACTTATAAGGTAGGTAGTAGTATAATATTTATATTTAAGTTATAAGAGGCTTATATCTTAACTCTATATATATTTATAATAAGTTATTAAAGTATATCTAGTCCTAGATATCCTAAACAAAGGTACTATAGTATTATATTATTTATCTTATCTCCCTATATATTATATAATAGTCTATAGTAGTAAAAAGCTAGTTAAAAATAATAAATACTTTAGTACTACTATATAGAATAATAAAAGAATAAAGTTATATTAGAGAAAGACTAGGTTAAATTTCTAATAAGGTAGTAAATTACCTTATTCTTCTTAAGTAACCTAGAGTATAGTATATAATCTAGACTATAGTACTAAATACTTACCTTATATAACCTTATTTTTATAATAATATTTATATAGAAGTTTTTATATAGTAAATATTATTTAAGATAAATTAATTAGTCTTTTTTTTTAGTTAAAAGTCCTTTAATAACTCTAGTTCTTTTCTTAGTAACTAAGAATAAAGTAATCTTACTTAGACTATCTTATCTAGACCTATATTATAAACTAAAGATAGCTTAAGAAGGCTTAAGTTATTAACTAAGTATATAGCTCTATATATATTAAACACTATACTTTTAAAGAGTATATAAGGTCTATTATAGCTATAAAAAAATATTTATATAAGACACTTTCTAGGTTATACTAGGATTCTAGAAGTATAGGATTAATAGTAATATAATTTATTATAGTAGATCCTAAAGTAAAGCCTATTTTCTTAGACTTTTTTTTCTTTATATTCTTTTTTTAAAGTTTAATACTTTTAACCTCCTTTAGTAAGTAGATCTATTTAACCTTATTAATTAGTATATATAAAACTAACTATTATTTATTTTCTTTAGCTATTTATAGATTTTTACTAATTCTTTTAGAGTTTAGTTAAAAGATACTTAATAAAAAATACCTTATAGTATAAATTTAACTTATAAATAGTTACTTAGTATTATTATTATAAGGATTCTATAAAGTAATCCTTTATCCTAGGCGTAAGTAACTTATTATTACTATCTAAATAATTTACTAGCATTATATAGACTTTAGTTAATTTTCTTTTTATTTACTAGTTGCTCCTTATAGATTAGTACACTAAAAGTAGCTTTATATATATAAAGTAAGTAAATTTCTTTATTATTTATCTTTTGCTTAATAACTTATTCTAAGGTATTTTTACTCTAAGTTAGTAAAAACTAAGTAAATACTACTCTAAGAAAAGTTTTTATAGCTAAGGTTCTTTACACTTTAGGTATTTTATATTACTTAGCCTAAAGGTAGTACTTATACTAATCTATATACTAAGAGGTAGAATTTATATTAGTATTAGCCTTAGCTAATATTACTAAATACTTTTCTTAAACTATTATAACTATAGTAAAGTTATTAAGAGTATAGTACTATTTTAGAACTCTTATAAGAGCCTTTAGTAATATATTATCTTTAAGTTAATATTTACTTAGTATTTTTTATCTAGGAGTTCTATATATACTAGTATAAGTAGTAATAAATTAACTATTTCTTAGACCTAGGCTTTAATTACTTTATATATATATTCTTTCTTTATATAGCTACTAAGTTCCTTTTTTATATTAAGAGTATAAAGCGTTATTATATTTATAATTACTAAAGTTACTTTTTAATTATCTAGCTTCCCTTTATTATACTTTTAGAGCTAGTTATTAAAGGATTAGAAGTCTAGTTAGTTAGTAATATTTACTTTAGAATTACTATCTAGATTAATATACTCCTATACCTTTTTACTTTTAGTATAGTATTTAAGAGTAATAAACTATTTAGGCTAATTTTACTTTATAATAAGCTTAATAGACTTATTATAGTTAGTTATCTTATTAGTTTTAGAGGATATTATTTTTTAAAGTAGTTAAACTACTTAGTAATAGATTAAAAGAGAGAGTTTTAGAACACTAAGTAATTATAATATTTAAGGGTTTTTTATATAGAAGCTAGGCTTATAACTATAATAAACTATAGTGTCCTAATATTTATAAAGAGAAGTAGTTAATTTTCCTAAGTCTAAGTACAAGAGAAAACTTGCCTAGAAATACTCTTCCTAATGTAGGTCTTATTAGTTAGAGGTACTACTCTATAGTGTCTTTAACTAGAACTAGCTATATAAAGCTGTCCTAGCTTTATAATATAGTAGTATTATTAGTAGTCTATTTATTCTTTATTACTATAAACTTTTATCTATTATATAAGGTAAAATCTAGAGGGAACTACTACTACTAGACTATTTTACTCTTATATATAACTAAGGGATAAATAAAAATACTTTTAGTAAATATATACTTAATAATAAATACCTAGGTATATAATCTAGGCTACTTTTTTCTTATTACCTTTATTTTAGCCTTACCTAGTATTAACCTATTATTACCTTTACCCTTAAGAATACTAGTCTTATTTATATTATATTTATTAGCTAGTTTAATAGCCTAGATATAAGGTATAGTAAAATATTTAAACTAGTTCTTAATAACCTTAGTAGATGCCTTATTAATATACCTTAAATTAATAAATTAATTTTTCTAGACCTTAATAGATAAGTTCCTTTAAATAAAGCTATTTACTTACCTTTTGCCTAGAGGTTAAGTATCCCCTATAGTATAGAGGATATAATAAGTAAAGTCCTTTAGTTATTAATAGGTTAGTAGTAGCCTAAGGTTAGCCTAGCTAGTTACCTAAGTAGCTAGCCTAGCCTCTTAGGTAGTTAATAGTTACTAGAGATCCTTAAAGGTAATTAACCTTTATTAATAACTATTTATATAATACTAAAGTGTTAATTATAGTATACTCTATTGTCTAGAGGTAACCTAAGAAGATATACTATTTTTAATATTAGTAAGTGCCTCTTAGATCTTATCTTTAGTATATTAGGTTATAGTATATTAAAGAGTATATCCTAAAAAAATAAAGTGATTTAATAAAGAATAGAAAATGTTGTGATAGTTTGAAGTTAGAGGTTATCTAGAAAGTCGGTGGCTGGGCGGCATTTTTGGGGTGGGCCATATGGGTGGGGGGGCCATAAGTGGGTGCTTTGACTTAACCACCAAGTCCACACATGACACACTTTCTTAGCCTAATATGATTCTAACACTATTATCATCGAAAAGCCGCGCCTGCTGTCGCCGGCGTCATCGCTGTTTGGCTATCACAAGATGAGCACAAAGCCCGCCTTCAGGTCCCGGGCCAGGTTGCTGCGAATGTCAAGAAGATGGTGCAGGATCTGGCGTACCCCAGATTCCAAGGCGGGCCGGCTGTGATCTGGAACGGCATTGACCCCCGTGGACTTGCCTGCTCGGCCAACGCCAATGTCAAGCGCCAGGCCCAGGCGTAGCCGCGGGCGGAAGTTGCTCGGCGGTCTCTAGCATTGCCTCTTCCCTGCCATCGGCCACGACTGCCACACCCGCACCCACCTCAGCCCCTCCACCGACTGTCTCGGCGCCGAGCACAGCGAAACCACCTCTGCCTCCCAAGCCTCAATGGAGTGAAAATCCGGCAGGCTTCACGAAAGCGTTTGAGAAAGATGGTGTGGCTAGCGCGTATTATGATGCCACTTCTGACAGCGCAAGTGAGGGCGTCACGGACAATATTGAACAATGGTGCCTCGCCAAGTGCACAGGTAAAGATCCCAGATATGTGTTACTGTGAAGAGAATTTTGACATGGCTGACTTTGAAATCGCTCACAGGGTCCTGCGTCTCGTTGTTTTTGTACAGGGAGTTGCAACTCATTAATGACCAATACAACATTTACTTCATCTGCAACCAGTAAGTTCGATCGCTTGGATGTTTTGCGGAGAGGAGACAGCTAACAAAACTGGACAGGTACAACCAGAAGTGGTCAGACAACTTTGTCCAGAACGGTGTCAGCTCAGCGGATTCCGCAGTTGTGTTTACGTGAGCTTCCCCTGCATACACGGATCGACTGCTTGACTAACCTCCCTCAGTAAATCATGATTGGCAAACGATGCACATGTTGAGTAAGGTGGTCTGATAGTCATGATGGAGCCATCTGTATTATTATGTTGAATGACGAATTCTCTTGTTTATCCGTTTAGTGATACATTCCCGCCGTATCTTATGCTGCCCTGAAGCCCATTTGAAAATGCGAAACTATGGCATTGTTTGTCTGTGAACCGGCTGAAGCGCAATGACCATGGTGAGGATGATTGATTTACCGGTGTCTCCTGGCGTGCCGCTCGCTAACGCCTCTCCTAGGTCCTCATCTTGGCCATGGCCGTCAGTTTTGGCATCGACTCCTGGATTGAAGGCGGCGTCGTCACCTTTGTCATCCTCCTCAACGTCGTCGTCGGCTTCTTCCAGGAGTTTTCCGCCGAGAAGACGATGGATTCGCTCCGCTCCCCGAGCTCTCCGACAGCCAGCGTCGTCCGCGACGGCAAAACAATGGTCGTGCCGTCCAGCGAGATCATCCCCGGCGACCTGATCGAGATTAAGACAGGTGACACCATCCCCGCAGACGTCAAGTATCATATGACATTGATAGCCCCCCGTCGAGACCGAAGCAAAGCGACTAATGATGTTTGCAGGCTGATTGAGGCCGTCAACTTCGAGACCGACGAGGCTCTGTTGACCGGCGAGTCCCTCCCCGTTCGGGAGAATGCAGGTAGCACGTTTCTAGAAAATACCAGAGAGGCGGCGACGCGTGCGGATCGATCGTCCAGGCCGGGCAGGTGTTGAACAACAGCAAGCCAGCCCTTGCCGCGTTCCTTCAGGTCGCCTCTCTCGCCAACTTCGCCACGATCAACAACAAGGGGGATCAGTAGGTTGCGCGCGGTGACCCGACTGAGGTTGCTATCCAAGTCTTTGCATCACGTTTCGGCTGGAACCGTCTGCGTCTCACCACGGGCGAGACGCCTGAATGGAGCGAGATCGCCGAGGTGCCCTTCGACTCAGATGCCAAACGCATGTCCGTCATAATGAAGCACAACCCGACCGGCGAGTATCACGCCCACACGAAGGGCGCCGTCGAGCGGGTGATCCAGATCTGCAAAAAATCCACCCCAGAGGACTCGGGAAAACTCGCCGACGTCACGCCCGAGTTCCACGAGGAGATCCTCCGCAACATGGAGGCCCTCGCCGGCCTCGGCCTGCGCGTGCTCGCGCTCGCGAGCAGACCCTTCGACAACAGCACGCCCACCAAGGGCGACAAAGTTGAGCGAGCCTCTGTTGAGCGCGACCTTGTCTTTCGCGGCCTCATTGGTCTACATGACCCCCCTTGCCTGGAGTCCGCTCCTGCCGTCTGGTAGTGTCACGAGGCTGGCATCTCGGTGCATGTGCTCACTGGCGACCACCCGGAAACTGCAAAGGCTATTACTATTGAGGTGGGCATCCTACTATCCCGCATGGATTGCGTTGTGCGCAACGTCGCCGACGCCATGGTCATGACGGCGTCCCAGTTTGATGCCCTGACCGATGACGAGGTCGACAGGCTGCCTGTTCTCCCACTTGTCATCGCGCGATGCATCCCCAGCACTAAAGTCCGGATGATTGAAGCCCTCTATTGACGCAAGAGGTTCTGCGCTCTGGTATGCTGTGTGACTTATGTATTACTCGGTAGGCCTTCGCTAACATAATATCAAGACTGGCGACGATGTCAACGACTTCCCTTCCCTCTGTCGCGCCGACGTCGATATTGCCATGGGATAGTCAGGGTCCGATGTTGCTAAGGACGCTTCGGATATCGTCCTGACCGACGACAATTTCGCCTCCATCGTCACCGACATCAAGGAGGGTCAGCAAATCTTCGACAACATCCAAAAGTTCGTGCTCCACGTCCTCACAGAGAACATTGCCTAGGCCGGAACCCTACTTGTCAGCCTCACCTTCAAGGACGCGAGAGGGCTGTCCATCTTCCCGCCCACGCCCGTCGAAATCGTCTGGATCATCATGGCGACCTCAGGCATGCCTGACATGGGCCTCAGCTTCAAGCAGGCGATCCCCAACATTATGCGCCAACCACCCCAGTCACTGAAGACAGGCATCTTCAACGCCAAGTTCCTGGTTGACATGGTTGTCTACGGCCTGTGGATTATGGCCCTCTGCCTCTCTAGCTTCTCGCTTGTTGTCTACAGCTTCGGCGATGAACGGCTTGGGGAGAACTGTAACGGGAGCCACAATGAGACCTGCGACATCGTGTTCCGCGCCCGCGCCACAACGTTCGCCTGCCTAACGTTGTTCGCGCTCTTTCTAGCGTGGGAGATGGTTAACATGCCATGCGCCGCTTGTTGTTCCGCATGCAGCCCGGGTCCAAGAAGTACTTTACCCAGTGGATGATTGACGTCCGGCGGAACAAGTTCCTGTTCTGGGCCATCATCATTGGGTTCGTCACCCTGTTCCCGCTGCTATACATCCCCATCATCAACACATCATCGCCGCGGCTCTCTTCTTCGACGGTGTGGAGTCGTGGAAATGGGCGAAACGGGTCTACTTCAGGAAGCAGAGCCGCAAGACATTAGGCGTCGCGTGGAAAGACATGGACATAGAGCAGAGGGTGTTTGGAGAGTACCTTGGCGGCCCCTCCGACGATGACCACCACACCGAGGTCGGCTACTATGACCCTGACATGGAGAAGAAGGAGGGATCGGGGAAATGAGGCATGTGTAGGGATTCGCATGTCCACTTACAACCCTATTGGCAGTAAAGCGCTGGGCCGTACTTGCAGTGCAGGAGACATAGTAAGTCGAGGGTCATAAGATCAACAACATGGACCCCTTTGCATAAACAATCCTTTCGATGTGTGAATGAATGTTGTGCTACTAGCTGGGTCAATAGTTTTCCTCGTCTATGTAGTCTGAGAATACCTTCTGATGAGCTTATACCCCTCGGTACATTCTCGTCATTCCAACATTGGCATGACGGCACTGCTGGGTTTGCCAGTGTCCTGTCTAATCGAACACGCAGAAAAGCAAAGTGTTGATTTACTAGGCTTTGTATTAATCCTGATATAAAAGCCACCGTGTTCCTTCTGAGTTCATGAATAAACAGGATGACGACAAAATCATGCTGTTCGTCCGCAGAGGACACAATTCACTAAGAATTGTGGTTAGTTATCTTGACAGTAAGCATTGATCAGGAGCAAAACAATATCCTTGCAAGAAGAACGGCGTTGCCGTTCGTAAATGTTCTGGTTTAATATATACTTTGGTCGTGCTGCAGCGAGCCATAAAGCCTGCGACGCTGCAACCCTCCCCCGAACGCTATTTACATAGAGCCAAGATCCCGGCTGTTATTCGACACCAAGAGACGCCGTCAGAGCTCGGATGTCTTCCCTTCTCAGACCTTTGTCACTTTGAATACGGCAACGTCGTTCTTCTCCAGCTGCGCGCTTACGGAAGTGCCGGTTCCCTGCTTTCCGGTGAGGAGCTCCTTCCACGCAAAGGTACCGGAGCCGAGGCCGGGCACATCGGAGAAGTTGACGGACATGGTGGCGGCGGCGGTGCTGGCGACGAGCGCAACAACGGTGCCATCGGAGAGAGCGCCCGCCCAGTATGGGGGCATGTTGCCGCTCCCGGGGTTGGTGGTGCCGCGGGGGGTGAAGGTCGTCGCCGCGACACCGAGGGAGTCTTGGTTGACGGCTAGGAGGTCCTGTGATTATGATGAGCGACCTTTCGGGCTGGAAATGGCTGGCCAGGGGCCAATCACGGATAATCAATGTACCTTGTTCGTGACGAGCGCGATCTGCGCACTGCTCAGTTTGCTGATGTCGGTTCCCAGAATGATGGGCGACTTGGCAATGGCCCAGATGGCAAAGTGAGTGCGCTCTTGGGCCGCTGTGAGCTTGCCGTTACCGATGATCTACAGAGTGAGCAAACGAATCAGCCAGGTCTATCAACAAGAAGTCGAGCGGAAAGATGAGGGAACGACAAGAACAAGAGATAAAGTCCGCACCATCATGTCGAGGTCGTTGAACGCGTAAGGCTTGGAGTACTGGGCAATCGGCGCCGCCCAGTTGGCAATGTTGACCACGTCCTGCCACCCACCCCAGTTGTCGGTGCTCATCCGCCACATCTGGCCGACCTGCGCGCCCCAAGTCCAAACCTGATCGTAGCCCCAGTTGCACAGCGAGTAGAGGATGGGCCGACCCGTCGCCTTGAGGGCGTCGCGCATTGTCTCGTACCGCGGACGCGAGTTCGGCGCCTGGTTGTTGGGGCACGTCTGCGGCGGGCCGGCCAGGTTGCAAGGGGTGTAGCAGTTGTCGTACTTCCAAAAGTCGACACCCCAGCTGGCGAGGAGCTTGGCGTCCTTTTGCTCGTTGCCTTGGCTCCCTGGGTACCCGGCGCAGGTCTTGATGCCGTTGTCGCCGTACAGGCCGAACTTGAGCCCCATGCTGTGGATCTGATCGGTGACGGCCTTGATGCCGTTGGGCCACTTAGCCGGGTCCGGGACCAGGTTCCCCGAGCTGTCGCGCTGTTTGGTGGACCAGCAGTCGTCGATGTTGACGTAGGTGTAGCCGGCGGCCTTGAGTCCACGACTAATAAAGTTCTGGGCCGTCGTCAGGGCGACGCTGGCGCTGGCGGCATTGCATCCTCCTTGGTTCTGGATCGAACGGAAACAATAATCAGCACCCCTGTAATGATCATCCTAAGAGAATACAACACAGAGGGGAGACACTTACCCACCCGCTCCAACCCAGAGCTGGCTTTTGGCCGACACTCTGCTGGCGAGTTTCGAGGATCAGGGGCCCGGCAGCAGCCGCAACGGCCAGGGATAGGAACGACGGGATGGTGGAATGCATGAGGGCTGGTGCTTTCGTCTTATATTAGCAGGGGTCAGGCTTGTAAGGAATTGTAGTCGCGCCGTTCAGTTCCTGATGTCTGTGGACCATGGACAATATTCGACGGTGCCATGCTAAGCTTTTATATATCAACTTGGTTCTCGGCGTTGTTGCTTGTTTACTATTCGATCTGCAGCTTATGCCGGTGGAGACGATCTCCACCGCCTTATTTCGCCGCTGTTTGGTATACGAGGCACTCGGGGTTAGTCTACACTGGTCAGTTGACCCTGGGTTTAGACAGGACTGACCGTCTGCCCGGCAGTGAACCTGGCGTGAATCTGCCCCAGAGTGGAGATAAATCGCGCGGGGCGCGTCAGATAGATCGCATGTCCATAACTCGACTGGCTCGCTTCTATCGAGCTGGGTGCAAGGTATCCCCAATGCCGTATTTCGGTCACTGTACCCTTCATGTTTCCATATTGTTCGTCTTTTTGGTACACTAATCGAGGTATACAGGCATAGGGAAAAAATTTCCCCTCCATTCAGGGATAAACCCGTTCAAAAATGGTACGCTAGACAAGCAGTCATCGACCTATCAGTTCATCGCATGTTTGTAATAGAGTAGTATTCGCGGGGGTTCTAGTGTAATTACCGTACGCCTTACCCCACACTCGGCAGTATTCAAAGCCGGACAATGTCTACCAAGTATGGGGAGTATTAATGGCGTCTTGTGCACACCAGCGACTAGGCTCTGGCTCTCGATTCGAGTTTCAACGCGGCTCTCATGAGCGAGCGTCGGCACCGAAAAAAGACTCGGCCTGGGAATTTTGATTGAGGCCCTCAAGTAAACAAGTACACGGGATTCATTCCGGTAGATTTAGAATGTACCGTGGACCAGCATGGTTCGAGAACGTGAAGGTTTGAGCGAGTAATTAATTCTAATTAATTAGCATCCATCAAGGACTGTAACGAACCCCAACTTTTCTTCTATTCTAAGCGATTGACACTCGTACTTCCCTATCTTCGCTAGGGCTTAGCCAACCACATCATTGGCGCGGATGCACTGCACAAATGGACAAGCAATATGACACTGACCAGTTCTTCGCTGTCAGTGATCTGCGCTCAGTCACATGTTGACAGTATATGGCGCCCGCGACCATGAACTACTTGCTTGAACAGTTTACGTGTTATTCCTTTGTATTTATCTGACGCATCAGATTCATCGCTAATTTCGTAGCCCTTGTGGTATTGGCGCGGTTCTCTTATAGTTCACTTACTTTCTTCATGTTTCCAAAGGCCGTCGAACTCCTTTCCTTAAGTGGGATCACCTTTAGTGGGGCTGTAGGTCGACACGAAAGGAGAGGGCTACTTGAACCCTTCGACAATGGCTAGTCTGCTCCCATGCGTAACGTCAAGTATGACCTCAAAACCAAAGTTCCATACTAGCTTTGGCCAACGGTTGGAAACAAGTGACTCTGGAAGTATGATTAAATAGCTCACCAAGCTATCACAGGTATTCCTCCACCAGCAAACAGCCGTCTTCGTTCTCCTGTATTTTTATCTCCGATTGTTGCATTGGCTCGTTTTTCTCTTTAGCATTTACTGGCTAGATCAGGGTATCAAGTACAAGAGCGATGGCTTCTCTTCATTACTGGCCCTTGCCGTAAGGCGCCACAGTTCTATTGACGCAGCTAGCGGTAGAGTCTATACCAGACTATCCTGCCGCACCAATCCTGGAATCGTTCCTTTCTGCAAATTTTGCATTGCAGGTCCCACAGTAAACATTTCTGGCAGGATTATATGACCTTCAAGTCCGTCGCCATCACAGCGCCGATTCACGACATAACTACCCTTAGATGCCTATCAGTCGCAGTTTCGGCTCGGAGAAGTGACTGCCTAATTCCTACCCAGTCATCAATTTGATAATCTGGCGATTCGTTCATGCTTTCAGTCATCCTCGCGGCACCACCTCCAGGTTGTTAGTAGCCTTGCTAAAGCTGCGGAGGGGGAGGGAAGGTGGAGAACTAGTGCATGATCGACGGAGAAGTTGGTGCGGAATCGGTTTCCCGAGATTAAAAGAGAGACCGTGCCCCATGTCGATTCTGCATTGGATCAATGTCACAGCGAGCTGCCGGGCTGAGGTAACTCCATATGCGCGCCTCTTTGCACAAGGCTAGCAAAGGCAGGGAACCAGGGCCTCTTCATGGCCAATGAACATTAATGGTTGTAGCCGCTCTAAGCCCCCATAAACGGTCGAGTTCAGTTCACCCGGTATATATATGCTACCATAGTATGGAAAAGACCGATACGCAGCACCTCTGACCTGTACTACGTCTCAATATATTAATACTAGTTATTTAATAATCGATAGCGCGGCCAAATATGTCCAGGCTAAGGGAGCCTTTTCAGGGCAGCACCCGGTAGACGGTATGTCACGTGACCATCCAGGCCCGGCTGCATCACCCGTATGCCAACAGTTATATAATAAATAGTGTATATATGTTGGTCTGGTCACGTGGCCACTGCTAGCTAGATATCCAGCCTCTTCACCTTGCCAGCCAGTAGTCCTTTTCCTCTAGCTACACATCACCAATATCAATGGATATTGCCTCGTTGCTCACCCACAATATATAACTCTTTTACACCCTCTGAACTCTTACTCTACAGGCTAGATACCCCCCCTCCCCCCCGAGAACTTAGTATACCCCCCCGTGAATTGGATCCCCATCTGACCATGCCCTAATGGAAACCAATGCCGGAACGAATCCGGTTCTGACTATGGAAGTCCTAACTATCAGGCTGTTTAGGTTTACTACCACTATTGCCTCTGCTATGCTAGCGGTTATCACCAGCCAAACCGGCTCCAAACATCGAAAGCATAGACTCCAGCTTGGTATGCTCCTATGCCTGCCAATAACCAATATGATTTTATATGACTCATCAGAGAAATGAGCGTTATAGTGTCGCAGGAGGGAGTAGTACTCCGACAAATGTTATAAGCATCCAATCTAGAGTTTGCAGCACCATTGGCCAGCTGGACGACCATGCAGGCGAGCTTTTGACTTTGGTTAGCCTGGATACGTAAAACATGATTGGCAACCCTATCGGCTTTGTCTCATACATACACATGTAGGACCATCCCTTGGCTGGAGATCCCTTTGAGAGATGCCTGCGTTCGCTTCTTGGTACAAAGCGTTAATAGCCAAAAGATCCAAGCTTAGGAAGTAGTTGGCCTGCCATGCTAAATCGCGAGTGGTATCGTTGAAGCCCTCGACGGGGTCGTACACGAGGGTGGTGCCGTTCAGAACAACATGATCGTCTACTCGCACGACGGCAGCTCTTACTATCCCAAGCGAGAGCAAGGAAATCATTGTAACAAAGATGGTGAAGTAAGGAGCCATTCTGATGGTTGCAAGCGGCGATTAGCTGTAGAAACTTGGGCCTGGAATGAGAAAGATGACTGAGAATGCAGACGCAGAGAAATACTCTAGGGGTCTGATACAGATGGATAATAGTTGTTGGTAACTTATAGCATCCTTCTTGGGGAGGTTCTTACTTACCTATATATCCTCTTGTGGCCACACTGACCCAGAAGAGAGGAGCAGTATACCACTAGAACCAGCTAGCTGTTTACAGATACTGACGAGGTGCTATCCACACCCCCCTAAAGGAATTGCCTAAGCTAAACTACTGCGCTACGCCTATACGATGAGTAAACGATCCGCATAGACAAGAAGGCAGTGTTACCAGGATTCTATGGATCGGCAAGGTTGACTGCACTACCGTACCTACCTCCTTACGCTCGAGGATAGGAGTTATGTTCTTCCACACGTCAGGGCCGGGTCTCTGATCTAATGCCAGCATTTCAGCAGCCTTTTAGCAGCTTTTTAGCAGCTGGTTTACCAAGAGCCTAATCGGTAACTCCGAAAACTCTTACAAGTTCGGACAAGGACCAATAACATAGACCAGTGACTAGCTATGAGTACTATTAAAACTCGAACTATACTACACTAGGCCTAAAACAGGAGGATACATTATAAGTATAGTATTATTGTGGTATATCCTCTTCCTTTGACAGTACTTAAAGGTACTATTTGGACTTTAATATAAATTACTACGTTAATCTAAATTAAGGTTGAAATACGAGGCTACGGTCTAGGTAGCTGTTACTCTATAGTAATCATAGCTTGCTTGTACTTAGTTTACGTTCTTAGTCCAAATCCAAACTTACAAGATTCATCAGAGTTGCCGATTATCCGTAGGCTTTAGTATAAAATACTACTTTAATCCGATTCCAAAGTTTAAATGGTGGGCTGCGGTCTAGGCAGCCGTCGCTCTGTGTAAGTACTGCGCCACTCTAACTAGTCATGGGCCTGTATGTTGTGGCTGGCATAAGGGCCTACCCTGGGCGAGTAGAGGTAGAGTTTGGAACACATGGAATTCCTTCACCTAGCAGAACATTTAGCTAATGAAGTCCCTCAAGCAAGAAGATCGTATTTCTAACGAGTCCTTGCTATGTAGATGTGGGGTATAGTTACGTTATAGCTCGTAACTTGTTGTTTTAAAATAGTTCGGTCTTCCATTCGTATTAAATCTCTCTTAAATATAGCATGCGGAAAAATAGAAATTTGCTGCAGTGAAATGAAACCATGGTTGAGACGAAGGTCGGGTGCATATGAGTGATCTAGACCTGGCTTATTGACTCTAGGTTCCTCGGTCATGTCCGCAAGCACCCCCGGGCTGGAGTCACGTCTTCACGGCCCGAGATTTTGGGAAAGCTGTACAGGCTCACCAAAAGAACCCCCATCCTCAGATGAGGTTATACCCCAAAGCGGCTACCCTATGAGCCACTACGACGCTTTCAGGTCGACCATGAGTGGGCCAGCCATTAGTTGGGAACATTTAGCAAACGGCTTTTTGACTGTCCGACTTCAATTTCTATCTGATCTCTACAAGGTAGCTCGCATACCTAATGACATTTACCCATTGAATGTGCAAAAGCACTTGCTCAGGCCTCCTCCCCAACACCAGACCCACCAACCTTGACGTGTTGATCAATAAGTCTTGCATTTCCAGCTCCAAGCGCCAGAATTGCAAGAGGCATATGACCTGACTCCGACTTTCTCATAGCAATACAAGTCTATGTTGAGACCAAGCTGCTGCCTGGTCGTGGTGCTGACACACGCCCAGTCGTTGCACCCACTCCCGTTCTGAATAGCGTTCCAGTCAGATCCATACTCGCGACCACAGGCGTCCTGCATGTCCACGCCGGTTTCTGCTCTTCTCTGGACGTCTTCAGCTGCTTTCTCTGACTCGCCCACGGAGGGCATCGTAAGGGCCATAACAGGCCTCGCGATGACAGTAGCGCCGGCGATGACGCTGAAAAGAATTGAATGCTTCAACATGTCGGAGGCTTCTGATAGTAAGTTAGTATACCCGCGAGCTACGTAGCGGGGACATGAGGACATTGACAAAACCTTACCTGAGAGAGACTGGTGACTAAATAAAGACTATATGGAAGTGGTGAGGTATGTTAAGGCCGAAAAAACCCAGTTGTTAGTGCTAAGGGCGGTGCCGGAAGACGGAAACTCTGATGGCAGGATATCTATGCTGTACTTATATAAAAGAATCTCCCTCATCACATCCAATCGAAGCTGCATTCAGCGTAGAAAGCTAACCGGTCATTCTTGGACTGCCTATTGCGGGGCGATAGCGCATATCGCAGGCGTACAACCTGGAGGTAATGAGAAGATGGGTATGACCCACATAGTCAGCTCGTATAGCATAGGATAGGGGTGCTATAAGCGGGCCAGGGAGAGCCAACCGCTACGCAAAGCAAAGGCTACGGTAATTATGCCTCTAGCACTACTATCCCCTTGCCCGAACTACATATTTACGCTGGTCGTCACACCTCTTCCTCAATAGTATGTACGACTCAGTCTCTATGTTTACTAAACCTTGTCATGATGCCTTTAATAGATGTCAGCGGCCCGTGTGTCAGCATCGTGCATATCACGGCCTAACTAGTTAGGGTGCTGGCCGGCGTAGCTATATAGTGCAGAACAGGGATGATGATGCAGCTTCCCAAAGCCTTTGCTTTGTGCTACAGTTTAGTTGCCCTGACCTGTGTGTAACACTAAGGCCTCTTATACAATCGCTAGTAAGACTAACTAGAGTAGCTAGAGTAAGTAGTAAGTCACTTTGATTCTCTATAACTTTACTAATAGGGTATTATAGCTACTACCTAAGCAGATTTTATATAGTATACTTATAAGTTAAGGTAGTTAAACTAAATGAAAGAAACGTAAGAGGTATAGTAATGAAGTAATAGTATTATACTATAGCTCTTCCCTCCTAAGGAGTCATCTGCATGCTGACTCATTCTGGTGTTAGTACAAAGGTCATACTGCCTGTACTCTGAGGACGGCTAAACATTCTGGCGACGGCTAAAAGACCTGGCGATTTAACAGCTTTTGCTACTCCAGATCCCTGTTTCTACTAGCACGCCGACCCTTCTCAGAAGCCCATAGTTTAGATTAGACCAGTGGACACGGTAGGTCCGACGAGCCCCTAGGAAACAAATAAACACGATAGGCATCAACACTCAAGAGAACCTATGCAGGGTCATACACCAGCCGACGGCCTCAGTCATACGAATATGGATGCAGTACCGGCGTCTAAGAAAGGAAATTACTTACTGCACAAACCTTTCTAATTATATGTTAACCAGGTTAGTAATCCTTCTCATTGAGATTATCGCCTGAACCTTAAATTGGCATAGGAAAGGGTCGGCTATAAACATGGGCGTATAAAACCTTCCTAACCCCTTCCCATGAAAACGTTCGAAACCCATTCATAAGCATCTTTGCAGACACAGGATTTCCGCAAGCTCAAGGTAAGACTTTTGTAGTACCATTCGTTCTACTTAATAATTAACATCTTTACTAATGTGACCTCGACGCAGTTATCACAATGCTCGTAAACCGCTCAGCCGTCTTAGGTGCTGCTATCAGCTGCTTAGCTCTTGGTGTCTTTGGTTCTCCTACGCCTGGGAGGGGTTCAAATAGTGGAAGTCTGCAGGCTAGTGGCTGGCTCGGCGGCGTCGACGTGAACTTGGCGTGTTCGATCCAGAAGGGCGACGGATGGACGTCCAAGAAGAATGGAAACGGCTGCAACGACTGGCTCTGCATAAAGGACGGCAAGACGGACAGCGTCAACATGAATACTGCCTGTGTTGGGCAGTATTATCTCAATCAGGCATATGCTACATGCAATGGAGGCGTGTATGACTGGGCGTGCTACCTCTGAGCTTGGGCATCATTTGGCTGCCGTTCATCCTAAACAAATCGGCCTGATATTTAGACATTGGGGCAGTCGGACAACAGCCGAATATTTCATACTGATTGGGCCTGACGATAGGGACTTGGTATTAAGTCTTCTTGCTGGTATATGAAGAATCACTTGATCCCGTTCTCCGTGTTGTATATTTTGAAGGGACCACGAAATGTGTTTATGCGTTTACATGCGTGTGAATATGGGCTTGGACGCGAGATGAGGCGGGGCCTTAGTTACTAACTTAATGAAGCTCGGAGTTTTCGGCTGGTACGCATGCAGACGCCTTGTCGGTGCTCTCAAGAGGGCCTACGGGTCACTGCTACGAGGATTAGAAGCTGCAGGCTGGAGACTGGAGGCTCAAGTCGTTCTCCTACTGCAACTTCTTGGTAACATAATTATCCTATAGTATAGCTAGCTTTAACGAAGTAGCTAAAAGTCTCTTGGCTATCTCCCTTGTTCAGGCTTACTATGTTGTATTTTCTGTAATATAATACTCATTGGCTGCAGGCAGATGAAGCCATTATTACGCCCATTACCCCCCCTCCCTTAACAGCTATCTTCACGACGTGCTCTCCTAACCTCGTTTGTCACCCTCTTAAAAAAGCTTGCCTTATTGGGTACTCTATACAGCCAGCCCCCTAGCATGGTCAGCATTCCTGTATTAATATCAATGTGCTGATCCCCTCTAGATCCCACATCTCTCTCACCTGAGACCAAAACCATTACCTCTAATTGAAAGTGCTGGTGCAAAAACCGCAGAATCCAGCCACACTATCCCTAATGGTTGTTCCCCAGATGCCAATTGGGGAGCAAAAGCAGCTGAGCAGTCTGAAAAGTTAACTGAGTGGGACGTTACACTTGCAGCCATAATCTCGCCTTCATTAAAGCGCTAAAAAACAATTACTATTGAGCTAAATAAGACTACTACTAATCTAACTACTTCTAAGGCTATTAAAGTCTTAACCTAGATACCCTAAAACAGGTACAAGTCTTCCAAGCTCTACTTTTGTACCTTTCCTAAGACTCTAAAGACATTAAGTAAGCACAAGATAGACAAGTTTGACTCTAAGCAAGGGGTCTAAAAGGTAGGGGATTAAGGGCCAAGGCTACTAAGGAAAGCTAGCTTAACTAAAAAAGTTCAGTAGTAAGCTGTCCTATAAGAAGCAGCTTCTTTCTAATGGATCTTTACTTCTAAGTAATTAAATAATATAGGTCTTTACAGATGGCAGTCTCTCTTGGGTTGTAGACCTGTGTGGGTGCGGTTAAGGTATGTATGGGCTGGCTGTCGCCGGGGTTTTCGACAGTTTTCTACAAGTCGGCCGAATTTGCTACCTAGGCACAAATTCGGCTGCCCTGGCTCAAATAAGTCCGTTCATATTTCTCAGCTGACCGACCAAGAGGCTCGGCAAAAAGTTGATAGCAGGCATGTAAGGAAGTCAGAGACAAATTCTTGGACTCGGTGTTACGCGCGTTTCAACCCAGGAGATGCGAGGGGGCGGACAAGGAACTGCTGGAAATGAATCGGGATCAACGGGACAAAACAACACAGAAAGTGCTTCGCTGGCTACAGAGACGTCGACCTGGTGTCCAAATTATTGTCTTAATCACAACACCCAAGTTCGACTTCCGAAAATAGAAGCCGAGAGTTAACTTCTGACAATCTACTGGGCTAGTGAATGACACTCATAACATTGAGTCTAAACTCTATTCTCCTTGAGAACAATTCTTGAAAATCGCTAGCATATACGGCGCCATCGAAGTCGTAACGCGTCGTGTGAAGCAACCCCAAACCCTACTTTCTTCAAACATCATTCGCTAACCAACGCCCGATTCTCTACGCCATTTTCTTTTGGCCACCTTAGCGATTCCTTCCGTCCCGCACCTCAGAGCCAGCAAGTTCGCGCGGAGTCCCATCCCAGCCTTCGTCTGGCCTCCCCGGCATCTCATGCATCTCATTCAATCTCGAGAGACTCGAATCCCGGTAGGATGCGTACGGACTGCTTCGATATGTCGATCCTTTTAGATATCCGTCGTAGCCTTCGTCAGGGGCGTATGCGCTGGAAGCAGCCTGCTCAGAGACATTGCCGTCCTTCTTGCGCAGCTTTCTAGTAATCAGCCAGGTGGCCAAGCCCACCACCATTGCAGCAAATGGAATCCCAACACCTAGTCCAACTTTGAGTGCGAGCGCTTCGTTGCCCCCAGAGTCGGAACCATCGGCGGGATCTTGTGTGGGTGCGGAAGTAATAGTTGCAGATAAGTCAAAGCATCCACATTTCGGCACCCCCCACATTTCGGCACCTATTTACACCAAAACTACTCTTTTTCACTATAGCGCTAACTTAATAACCTTAGCCTTAATAATTATAGGAAAATTTATATCTATATATAGTTACTTAAAAGACCTATATATAGCTTATAAAGTCTTTTTACTTAGTATAAGTAAAGTACTAGCTACTTAAAGTTAAAGTAGTAGAAGTGTTAAGGTTATAGTATATTTTACTAGTATTTCTTAACACTTACAAAAGTAGTATAACTTCTTAGTTTTTAAATAAAAAAGCTTAAAACTTTATATAATACTATTTAAGTCTATATATAGTATTATTATTCTTAAATCTTTAATATTTATAAGGTTAATATAAAATAAACTATAATTATATACTTTACTAAGAAACTTTTTATAAGAAAATTTTTAAGTTTATTATTTAAGCTTATATAAGTATATATATACTATATAAATATTACTACTATAAACTATATAGTATAATAATACTATATATAAAGTTTTAAGTTTATAGTATATATATTTATTAAGTTATAGTTAAATATATTTTACTAGTATTTTAGTACTTTCTTATAAAAACTAGTCTACTTTAAGCTATAGTTACTAAAGTAAAGTATAAAAGCTTAATATAGACTTATTAAGTAATTATCTATATAAATTAATTTTCCTAGAATTATATATGCTATAGTCGCTTAGTTATAGCTATTATAAAAAGGGGGTAGTTTTGGTGTATTTTGGTGTATTTTGGTGTAAGTGGGGGTTGCCGAAATGCGGGGGGTGCCGAAAAGTGGGTGGGTTGACTTAACGTTTCTGAGGAACTCGCAGTGGTTGAAGTTGCTTCCATGGAACTCACCACACTCGAAGAAGTCGTTTGGCTGGGGGCAGAAGAGAGCAAAATTCCATTATCGTCGAGAAACACTTTTCTTGCCGAGGAGTCGCAGCACGACTCGCTACCCTGCATGCAGCAGTAGGCGTTGTTACCACAGTCTTCCACTCTTGGGAAAACGTTGGTGACGAAGCCTGTGTTGATAGTTGTCTCATCTGGCAGTGAATTTCATTGTGAGTACGATATAGCCATGATAGTACGCAAATGGCAATGGCAGCCCACTTACTGAACGCGCAAATTTGTGCGCAATTACTCCTGTCCCACGGAGTCGACAGGCAAGGTCCTCGAACCAAGATATTATCCCGAAGGTTTTGACTTTTGCACAGTCGGTTCGGCATACAATCTTCCTTTACTCCGCAGCAAGCGTTGGAACCCTCGCATAACTTCTGATTAGGCCATGCTAATCCACTGTAGCTGTAACAAGTCTCGCCTTGGGAGTGTCCCGTAAACAGAAAAAAACAAGCAAATGGAAAACAGGATAAACCTGGTTGATCTTGACATGATGATAGAGACAGCTTAAAGCTCAAGGACGCTAGCGTGTATAGTCGGCAAAATGCTGTGTAAGGCAAAAAGAAAGGGTATGTCCAAATTAACAGGACGAGAGAGATTGTCAGGGGCCTGGCAGGGTTGGAGCTGGTGGGGCCCTATTAGTCAGCCTATGAGGGATAAAACCCTTCCAGCTAGCAATAGTTAAGGGGTTAGATTTAAATGCTATTATAACACTATACTTACCCTCCGTTAAGTGGCCCTATTGTTGACTTCTTTACTTAGACTAGCTGACCTCTGACATATTTAAATCTTAACCTATCTATAGGGGCTCTAACTATTAAAGCAACAAGATAGCTAAGCAATAGGCTACTATAATAAGATATAATAGGCTTTAATAGGCTACTGCTAGGCTGCCGCTAGGCTACCGCTAGGCTACCTTAATAGGCTATAATAGGCTGCCGCAATAGGCTACCGCTAGGCTACTACTAGGCTACCTTAATAAGCTGCTACTAGGCTACTATAATAGGCTATAATAGGCTACCTCTAGGTTATAAGGTATACTAGCCCTATTACTAAAGTTAGTGTTAAAGAGATATAAAGACATCTAAGTAAAGAGGCCTTACTAGCTAGGCCCTACTAGCAGCAATAGGGGGCCACTAGGGGGGTATACAGCAAGGCTATACCTAGTGTTACTTCTAAATAACCTAGATAATAGACCTCTGCCTAGATAATAGACCTCTAGATACTAGACCCCTAGATACTAGACCCCTAGATACTAGACCCCTAGATACTAAATTCCTAGATACTAGACCTTAGGCAGCTAGGTAAAATAAAATAAGGTAAAGTAAAGTAAGGTAAAGTAAAGTAAAGTAAAATAAAGTAAAGTAAAGTAAAGTAAAGTAAAGTAAAGTAAAGTAAAGTAAAGTAAAGTAAAGTAAAGTAAAGTAAAGTAAAGTAAAGTAAAGTATAAGGTAAAGTAAAGAGTATATAGAAGAGAAGCTACTAGGTAGCTAGGTAAAGTAAAGTAAAGTATAAAGTAAAGTAAAAGGTATATAGAGGAGAAGCTACTAGGTAGCTAGAGAGATAGTCCTATAAACAGTACTACTTTTTCTACTATATAGTAGAGGTTTAATAAAGGTAATAAGGACTAGGTAACAGTAACTAGGGGATAAGGATAAAGACTATAAATAGCTTTATTTTAAAGCTATAAAGGTATAGCTTATAAGAGGGGGAAATATATTAGGGGCCTAGTAGGGTTAGAGCTAGTAGGGCCCTATTAGTTAGCCTATAAGGGATAAAACCCTTCTAGCTAGCAATAGTTAAGGGGTTAGATTTAAATACTGTTATAACACTATACCTACCCTCTGTTAAGTAGCCCTATCGTTGACTTCTTTACTTAGACTAGCTGACCTTTGACAGAGATAGAAGGGAAGTGGAAGAGACAGACAAGAAGGGCAAGACTGCGGAACCTGGGCATTTCGGTGACCAACCAAAGTTTCTCCGCCGCCTGGCCCGTCAGCCTGTCTGGTGGTCGTTTGTTAGGATAGATAATCATCTACCTGTCTTGTTGGTACAAAGTAGCATTTCGGTGCTCGAACACATCCTGCGCGCTCTGATTGCACACCATCCGACGACAGGAGAATCCAAGACGCAAGGTGTATGTAGCCGCCGTCTAGCCTTGTCGAATCTCCGTCTAGACTAGCGCAACGCTATGTTGGCAAGGAATGTATCCGTATGATGAGAATAACGAGGCCGCTGGTCGCGCCTCGGCGACTAAAGAACCTCGACAGGAAGCTGGAGTATGATGAGACAAAATAGCAACATGGCAGAGAAATGGTGAAAAGCGGCCGCAATGAGGACGTGTAATTATGCACTCAGAATGCGATCTCATAAGCGTTCTCCCTTGAGCTCCCACCCCTGTCCCATCCCCTCCTTGGGCGACGGTCAGCCTCTTTTGCCAACTAACCAACGATAAGTTCTGGTTGGCCGCCTGGTTGATCAACATCCCTTTTGACGGAAAATAATTATTCCACAGCCCTTACTACGCTATTACGTTGACTTGTCCGGGTTTGTGGGAATCCTAGAGTAGTAGAACTAGAGCCTCCCTGTTTTTGAATCACTTCGATTGTTCTCACGCGACACATTCGTTACCAAAATCCCCATTTCTCAACTGCTCTTCGTAGTTTCTCCTTCAGAATGCTCCTTGTAGCTATTTCATCCTCACGGATGACAACGACAATCTTTTTCGTCTGTCTTTTATTGATGCTCTTGTACTCATTATCCATTTTCGCACCCTCCTATCATCCTACATCACCCACACCGCCGGTGACGCAAGCGCCATCTCATCCTAAACATACCGACAAGCCCAAGGAGGACTCTCTGTCAATATGGCAGAAGAAGGCAGATTCCATCATGGAACAGGCGAAAGCACTGATTGAGGACCCAATTCAACCCCCTTACAAGGACAAGTTCTACGACCTCGGTCAACGGGTCATACGTGCTCGGGAATGGGTCAAAGTCATTGACAACGCTCCCAAGTCTGCGAATACCCAAGTCCTCGTCGAAACGGTGGAGAGCGCAATTGGATCTTGCTTTCCCTTCATTCGAGATTCTCCGCAGCGTCCGGGTAGCAAGACCCCCTTTTCAGACCTGCGGTCATCGATCATTCCGGGATCGCGGGGCTTCGTCATTCCGACAGGCAAGGGAACCATGAGATATGCGACTCACCTCATTGGCTCACTTCAAGAGATCCTGCGCAGCAAAATGACGATCCAAATAATCCATGCCGGCGACGAGGACTTCCCGCCCGAGGAACGCGCGAAGTTGCAGTCTCGATTTCGCGATGTCCAGTTCCTTGACATCCTCAGTGTCATTAACGATACGACTGTGCAGCTCGCCACAGGCGGTTGGGCTATCAAGGCCTTTGCAGCGCTCTATGCACCTTTCGAGGAGGTGATCCTATCAGACGCGGATTCTGTTTTTGTACAAGTTCCAGAGAAACTATTCTTGGACCCCTCCTACCAGACGACTGGTGCTCTCCTCTTCCACGATCGCTTGATTTGGCAGCATGCTTTCGCCGACCGTCACGAGTGGTGGAAGTCGCAAATCCACGAGCCCAGTGCTACGCTCAACAAATCACTTGTCTGGACCGAGGACTATGCCGAGGAGGGAGATTCCGGGGTTGTGGTCATCGACAAGTCGCGTCTGGATGTGTTGATGGGTCTGCTTCATGTAGCATGGCAGAATACCTATGGGGTGCGTGAAGAGGTCTCCTATAAGTTGACCTATGGCGACAAGGAGACCTGGTGGTTCGGGTTCGAGCTCAGTGGATCAAGCTACGCTTTCGAAAAACACTACGGCGCTATGATCGGCTGGTTCAAGGAAATGGTCAATGACACTGCCCAAAGAATCTGCAGTTTTGTTATTGCGCATGTGGATGTGCGGGATGAGCCCTTCTGGTACAACGGAGGTCTGCTGAAGAATAAGAAGGTTGATCCCAAGGAATATGGCCTGCCGACCCATATATTAGTCGATGGGAAATGGGAAAAGGGTGCAGAACGTACCCAGATGAGCTGCATGGTTGGGGAGAACGTGAAGCCTTTAAGCATGGAAGTGAGTTGGATTTTGAATAGTTCCATCACTTTGGCGCAAAATCTGGACAGGGAGTTTGGCTTTGTTTAGACTCTAAATGGCGTCTTCGGTGACCTGGAATGGGCCGTTATCTTGTGTCATATTGCTATGTAATCATGCCTGCAAGTCACTGTATTGACAACAACTTCAATGTTAAATCACCAATTTGGTTTATCAACACAACCTATTATTATGTTACTCGAGTTATTAACGGGCCGTTCAACGGACAAAAGGTCTTGATGGTCTGTGTTTCGAAGCTTGGCTTCACCCAGTAGACTTCTCATCTTGAGAAGTGCGAGACACGCTGATAAGTCCAGAATGAGAGATCGGAAATAGACAGAGAATCTTTCGAATCCTCGAGGCCATGCCATTCATGCACCCACCACATGACTAGATAAAGAGTCCACAAGACCAACATTCAAGGCCATTACCATATTTTTGGTAACTGGTTATTCTCCCCAATATATATCTATAATGCAGCATTCCACATGCGGATTTCAGAGCCTCAATAATAGTACCATAGAAATGCCGAGATCGAAGACTGAAGAACATGTGATGGAAACATCTAGGCATGATGACTAAGCCATTCTCACCTCATATGACGTATTTGGTGGAGTAACTCGATGTTGGTGCCATGGTCTATTATGCGACCACCTCAGACGTCTCAACCTGTTTTTTTCTCCCCCAAGTGCCGCATCGAGAGACAGTGTCATTTTCCTTGCCTTTGCTAACCTCAACGAAGAATTCACGTCAAGACGAGCAGGTATCAAGGATACGAAAAAGCCAAATCGATTGACCATGCCTTTTTCCTTCTCGTCATCCATCTCCTTTTCCTCCTCAGTCACCCACAACGGCAAGACTGAGGAGAGGCGATGGGCTCGCAAGCACGAATACGGCCCCTCCGGCACTACGATCCGAACTGCCTCAATGCGGACGGGGGAACCAGTGTACCTCGAGCGCCGCGACTGGGACGCCTCAGGTCGCCCTATTCCCCAGGGACGGAATCTCCGCAACGGCGAGTCGGCGAACGCAAATATTGACAGACGCATCGAGGACGTTTCTGAGCAAGAGCAGAGCAGGAAGTCTTGATAAAATCTAGGATCTGGGTCGGCAAACCTGGAGTTTGGGGCAGGGAGGCGTTCATTTTGCAGGACCTACGGCAATCATTACCTGATCAGCGACTTGAATGATGGAGATTTCCAGGAGCGATACGGGGAGGATGGACAATACCAAATCAGATTGCTGGACAATGTATCCTGTTATGACTGAACTACAAAGACGTGCGAATCTATCCTCGGTCCAATCTGCTCGCCAATGCAAGAGTTATCGCAACTGCATTCACGGGACATAATCACGGACGCGAGAGGATTGACTACATGGTGGTCATGACTGCATTAGGTATGCTCCAGTATGCTCCTCTTTGCTCAATGGAGCCATACCAAGTTAAACCTATCTAACGTACAATCGTCTTATTACACATGCTTCAAATCTTGATTACGACCTTGCCAAAGTGCTTCTGATCCCACTGGTATTGGTAGGCGTCCTTGACCTCCTCGAAGCCGAAGATCCTCTTGTCAACAACGGGCTTGATCTTGTTGGCGTCGATGGCTTGGTTCATCTCCTCGAACTGCTGCTTGGAGCCAACAAAGATGCCGCGGACCGTGCAGATGTTGGCGAGGGCGTCCAGCATCGTTGGCTGGTCTTTGGGGTCGTCGCGGTGGGACAGGAAGCCGATGATGGTGATGACGCCTTCGAGCTTAATGGCCTTGAGCGACTGTGTGAGGGTGCCGGGGCCGCCGACCTCGATGATGTGGTCAACACCGACAGCGTCTGGTGTCAGCGACTTGGCGACCTCGCCCCAGTTGGGCGTGTCCTTGTAGTTGATGACGTGATGCGCGCCGAGCTCCTTGAGCTGCAAGCCTTTGGTCGCGGACGACGTTGTCGCGATGACAATGGCGCCAGCGGCGACGGCGAACTGGATGGCGGCCAAGCTTACGCCGCCGGTGCCCTGCGTCAACACGTAGTCTCCGGGCTTCAGCGCCTTGGACTGCAGGCCGTACAGGGCGTTCCAGGCGGTCAGCGGCGCGCAAGGTAGCGTGGCAGCCTGGACCGGGGTGAGAGTCCGGGGCGCCTTGACGAGGCCGTGCTCGGGGAAGACGCCGTACTGGCGGAGGGTGCCGTCAATAGCGCCGCCGAGACCGCTCTTCACACCCAGGGGGGTAATGGGGTTGGCAAGGTGGTTCTGGTTGAAGAGGGTGGCGACGTGGTCGCCCTCTCTGACCTGCGTGACCTTGGAGCCAACGGCGACGACATGGCCGGCACCGTCAGAGGCTGGGACGCGGGGGAAGCTGACGGGGAAGGGGTAAAGGCCCTGGTTAGGTGTGAGTGATACGAGCAATGGGGAATGTATCCAGAGGGATACTAACCTTGGGGATGGCCAAGTCACGGTAGTTCAGGGAGACGGCCTCGATCTGAACGAGAACATCGTAGTCGCCGAGCTTGGGAATCGGGACGTCCTTCTTGAGCTTGAGAGTCTCCCAGTTGTTGCTGTCCTTGTCGATGCCGGTAATGGACCAAGTGTTGGTGGTTGTGGGAGCCATGGCGAGGGTGGTTCAAGGTAGTTTCTTGCTTTTGTTAGAACGTGGAAGTTGTAGGCTATCAAGTCCCAAGTTGGGATATTCAGTCCGCGTTTGGTCGCGCAGTCTTGGCCCTTATACTTCAGCAAGAGAGATTTCGAACCATCGTGGGGTACGAGCTATTTGCTTCGAAGAGTGTCTGCATGACGCAATGAATAATCACACCGTCATATACTGGGTCCAACGATGCGGCATTCATTGACTGGCTCATACTGACTCGCCATTCCTGTTATCCCTGCCCAGGCCCCATCCGGCCCCATCGACTTCCCGCTTTTGCGACCGGACGCTTCGGGATTCGCCATCCATCAAGTCGTCAGTTTGACCGAGGAACACGTGGAAAATGACATGGCAACGCTTGTTTGACCCAAAGGGCCGCGGCGATCAGGTCATGGATGCCATAGATACGCTCTCGTCTTCCCCTGTCGGTAGTGGATAAGACGAGCTCCCTTACTGAAGCCGGCTAGACGCCCCGTTCTTGGTATCCATCTTGTGGGCCAAGAGAAGGAAATCTCTGCCGGCTTACAAATAACCTTTGTGGAGTGCAGCGGCAGTCGAGGGAGGATAATAATAACGGTGAAGGAAAAAGAAACAGGCAGAAGAAATAGTTGCGAATAGCTTCAGGATGACCCGACGAGACTAACAGAGACACACTGGCTCGTTTTCAGCACATCTTCCATAAGGCATAACAGACTAATGTTCCACACGACTCGAATTGAGAGCTCATTAATATAACTTCTGCTCTGTCGTAGACAAATTGTCAAACGGCTGACAATTTATCGCATGCAATCAGAGTCCTGATGAGTGGCCCAGATAATACTTGGTAAGATAAACTTGAGGTCATGTCAAGAAAACCGCTTGTCTGCATGCGTATAGCCTACGACGGGTAGCAGGTGTTGATCTATGAAAATGGCCGGAATGTTCGAATTCTGTGAAGGGGGCAAAGCGCCTTCACAGTTATTAGTTCTCCAACGGGTTGAGTCGGATGTAATGCCAAGTTACCAGGCAATCTGAAATTCCAGAACCCCTTCTGGCGCCACTCCATAGTCAGAATGAGAGCTAGACTCTGTAGATTATATCTCGCGCCGCCGGCTAGAACTAAATTCGGGAGGACCGGGCATCAGACTCACAAGGGCGGCAGCCCTCAAGCTCGTGCAGAATCTTGCGTCTGAATCCGGAATCTTGGGCTCGGCGTGTTTCGGTGTTCACGGCATCTTGTCTTCTTGTCGGCATAATATGCGCCTCTCCTGCCCCGCGATAACCAATTATTAATCATTAGTTACCAGCATCTGGAAACTCCTCGGTCACCCTGAACTTAAAATCAGGCGCCGGTTCCGGAAACGGAACACCATGTCCATCCATTCGCATTAAGCTGCCGGCGGGTCACCTTTACATTGCACCGTTATTCTAGACCTTTGACAGAGATATTGCGCTATAGAAGGGTTGTTGACCTTTGTTCTTTATCACAGAACCGAACTTCGAAGTCGCATGTCTATGTTTCTCAATCAACAGCGCTTCCTAGCGTCGCTCATGACTTCAAAAAGATGGTGCCGCTCATGACCCGGGTCGCCTTGCCTCCAAGGTGCAACGTCTCAAGCTTGCGCTCGCCGTCGGAGCCCTTCCTGACCTTAACGTCGACGTAGATGTGGCTTCTGCGACCAATCTCGACACCCTGGGTGATCTCGAAGCTGAGTGATTCTCCAGACAGCACGTTCAGGCTCAGGTAACTGGACAGCGCGCAGGCAGCGCTCCCCGTAGCTGGATCCTCCATATCAGTTTCAATCATCCGTGTTCTGATCTTCTGCACGACGCGGCCGTCGATGGTCTCGACCCCGAGGCGCACAAAATAGTATCGCGTCAAGAATGTGTTGCGCCAGCCCTCTTCAAGAAGCTCCTGCTCGTGGAAGTTGATCGGCCCTATCTTGGCCAAAGCCAAAGATTCCAGCGAAGGCAACTCGACGAGGGCAAATGTCATCCCGTTGACGATGCTGAAAACGGGTGCGTTCACCTCGGCCTCGGCGAGCTGCGCCACCGCATCGCTGTAAGGGCCCGGGCCGAGGTCTCTCAGACGTTTCTGGTGAAGGCGGGCGTTGTGGGGGATAACGGCACGGACCGAGTCGGCGCCCGCATCGGTAATGTCGATGGGGCCGGATTTGGCGATCAGCTTGTTAACGCCGCGCGGCTTCAGAAAGACGGCCATACCGACGGTCGGGTGGCCTGCAAAGGGGAGCTCCTGGGTCGTAGTGAAAATTTCGAAGCGCCTCTCGGTGCATGCGGGGTCGTCGTCCTCATGCACGAAGGTTGTCTCTGAGTAGTTGAATTCCCTCGCAATGTCCTGCTTCTGTTTCTGGGTCAGGGTTACAGACGCGGGAATGGTGACAATGGCCAAGGGGTTTCCTTCGAAGGGTCTGTCGGTGAAGACGTCGACGGTGGTGTAAAGAAGCTCCATAATGTGTTTTCTTTGGAACAGTGTTGTGGGCGAAGATTTATTATGGAGAATGTGTCAATGAGGTTCGGGCAACAGCTTCAATAGGCGAGCTTTATAAAAGCTACCGTGCTAGTGAGTTGACGATCAATGAGACGAATGAGTCACTGCGGAAAAGTCTCAGGGCATCATCGGTATTTTGGACAAAACTTAGATAGCGGAGGTAACATGGGTAAAGACATCGTTGTATCAGTACCTTACTAAGAAATGTGTAGGGTTAGGGTTGACTAGAGATTGCTGCCAAGTTGAAAGTCTGATTCACACGATGTACTGCTAGTACCCTCAACCACCAGAATCCATCGTCTTCAGGAGTCGGTAAGCAGGCCTCTTTTTAGGAATGTCGCTGCGTTAGCCACGCCTTTTGCGCCTTGCGTCAACGACACGCTTCTCTACTATCGGTCTCGTCTGGCCTTTCCGACTCGTAAATTCTCATGCGTTGACTTGCCCCACTACCCACATGTGCATCCTCCTATACCGGCTGCTGGCTCCGAATCCAGCTATGACTGGGTTACGATACTAGCTGGCTGGAGACAACCGATGGACTTGTGCCTTGTGAACTAGAACTGATAGGGTATAATTCAGACACTTGAAACACTTATTTCGGGTCTTACTACATAGTTCTTTTCACAAGTGTGACAGTATCGTTGAAATTATTAAACAATACTACAGGCTGCTTTCGCGGATGGTCTCATTTAGACCTAAGTGCATAAAGATGTCTATTGAGAAGTGCTAGATCCTAGATTCCAAAAAGAGAGTATCTAACCTATGTGAGTGTATCCCGATCTCTCTTTGTTCCTGCTCGAAATTGATACAATCATCGAAAGGGTACACTATCTGCCATAGGTCGAGAGCGGGAAGCCTGTCTACGCATTCACGTAGAGCATTAGCTACCGCAAAGTCTCATATGCTTCATGAGAGTTATCTGATGCTAATTGACTATGACAACAACTATAGGCGTGGTGACTAGTTATGGTAGTATGCAAGCAGCTACAGCCTTCAGTCATGTTGAGCACTAAATCCTTCGTCCTTTTAGTCTTAACACACTAGGCGCCTGTGATCCCCCGAACTTCCTATCTGCGTACACAGACCCATTTGATAGACAGTTTGAGCGTTTTTAGGTGCGTGCCGAATGGCAAGTATGACGATCTCCAGGCCGGTCGACGCCAGCACGATCGTCTGCAACCTTGAGGCCCACGAGACCGTCAAGTCAAGCACCTCGAGGCTAAAGGAAGGAGTCAAGAGTGAACCTTGTGGTAGCGCAATGGTCGCGGCGCTTTGACGACTCGCGCAAATAGATCCCCGACCCAGCTTGCTCTCTGAGAATACTGTTGTGGTGCTGCTTAACACGGAGGGGCCGCGCAACTACAATACTCCCTTGAGTATAGTCAGTGATGACGCTACCAAGCTGGAGCAGATTCCCTCTCTAGTCACTTCGTCGAAAACCCTCTGACGGTCGAGTCCCATGTCATCCAGTCGCAAACATCCGGCTCTATTTTCCGCGATTTCGGGAGCGTTATTGGAGCTTATCATTCTGGAACCTCGCGTCACGTCCTCATGGCCGCACCCAAGCATCAGCACCCAAGAGGAGCTTTTCAATACATTCGTTCCCACGTCTCAGGGCCGCTGAGTGAGGCCCCTTTCCCCGGCAACACCGTCATTCTGGTGCGACGCGGCGTTGTTATCCGATGTGGGCGGTTCTTCTGTCATAATAATGGGGTTACGGTGAGAGTTAGGCAGGGGCTAATATGGAATCTTCAGCGAGAAGTAATGAGTTAGTGTTGGTAGTCCTCATGAGGTGGTTTCCGTTCTATGGGGTATCATGAGACGCTTTGTGCGTAGTGTTACAGCAGAAGTAACGGTGTTTACGTAGTAATTTAAATCGAGGCCGTGTTAATGAAAATGAACTCAAGTCGGGCCGTTCCTAACAGAGGTGATGCGGGGAAAAGTCCCGCGATGTTTAATCCAAGCGCCGAGTATAGATGCGCTCCAATCAACGTGTAGTGCGACACGTTGAGGCTTCAACTTCCTTAAAGCCCGTGGCAGGGTTCCCCGCGTTTCTGAAATCAATAATGATACCTACGTCTAGTACTATCCCGGCGGTGATGCTACATACGACATCACCTGAATGACCGCATATGATGTGGGATCAGCTTTTATGTTACGGAGGCGTGTTAATCTCATGAACAAACCTTACATTGGGATGTCACACCAAAATAATTACCCCTCGAATGAAGGGCCCAAAGCATAAAAGACCGCCATCCTCACCACTCCATCACTTGTCTCCCGTCTTGTTTGGCAAGCTTTGGTCATTCTTCTTCCTTCACAATGGTCGCAAGACTAGGGACTATGACAGCCTTACTCGCGGCAGCGGCGTCTCTCCTTTTAGCCCGAGTCGCCACCGCTCAGACGGAAGGGCCGTATGAAGCAACCTGGGAGTCTACCGACAAGCACAATGCCTCCCCCGAATGGTTCCGTGATGCCAAGTTTGGCGTCTATTGGCACTGGGGTGCCTTCACCACACCTGAGTACGGCAGCGAGTGGTACGGCCGCAACGTCTATGAGCCGAATAGCGATGTGCGTGCAGAGCACACGCGGCGTTACGGACCGCCGGAGGAATGGGGCTATCAAAACTTCATCCTGGGGGCGGACGACCTGCAAGGTAATCACGTTGAGTTTAAGCCTGTCCTGGCGAGTGATGGCGGCGCCTTTGATCCCGACGCTTGGATGGCCGTCGTCAACGCTTCAGGTGCCAGGTTCGCGGGGCCAGTTGCCGAGCACCATGACGGGTTCTCCATGTGGGACAGCAAAGTCAACACATGGAACTCTGTCAGACACGGTCCCGGCATCGATCTGGTCAAGCTCTGGGCCGACCTAGTGCGCCAGAGCGGGATGAAGTTCCTCATCGCCATGCATCAAGCCTTCAACACGAACGGCTTCTACGAGTTCGCACCCCAGATGAACGACACGGAGCTGCAGCTTCTTTTCGGCCAGCTCCCCAAAGATCAGGCTGATCAACGGTGGCTTGACAAGCAGCTCGAGGTCCTCGACCACGTCCAGCCAGACATGATCTGGAACGACTTCTCCCTCGACAGCCCGGGATACTGCCAAAACCCAAAGTTCGTGTGCAACATTGGCGAGGCACAACGTCTTGGGTTCCTCGCCCACTACTTCAACCGCGGCGTTGAGTGGGGTAAGGAGGTGCTCACATCCTATAAGCACTTTGACAACGGCTTCCGCAACACGTCGGCGGTCGCCGACTTTGAGCGCGGCGGCCCGGATGATATTGTCCGCCCATACTGGCTGACCGACGATGCCATCAGCGCATCATCATGGAGCTACACGGTCGGTATCGCCTACTACAGCTCGACCCAGATGATCCACTCCTTCCTTGACCGCGTCAGCAAGAACGGCAACATGCTGCTCAACATCTCCCCGACTGCGGCAGGTGTGCTTCCCGAGCAACAGGAAAAGGTGCTTCTCGACATTGGCGCTTACCTCGGGCGGTATGGCGAGTCTATCTACAGCACCCGCGCGTGGGACATCTACGGCGAAGGACCCAACAAGGCCGGCGGCGGCTCCTTCAGTACCCCGCTGACCGGCAACAGCAGTGACATCCGCTTTACGCGCAATAAGGCTAAGGATGTCCTCTACGTCACGGTTCTTGGATGGCCGGCAGACGCCACCGTTTCCATTGCAAGCCTCGGCTCCGGTGCAGGCGTGGACCTTGCCGGTCTCACCACGGTAGAACTGCTTGGCGACTCGGCCGGTGACTATGCCGCCGTCGAGAGCTGGACGCAAGAGACAGACGCGCTCGTCGTGAAGCTTCCGGCAAAGCCGGCAGAGTCCTTTGCATACGTCCTCAAGCTCAACTTCGCCGACCATATTCCCGTGCCACTCATTAGTAACGGCGCGTCCGTTTTCACCGGAAACAACACCAAGGCACCGGGCATGTCCCTCCCACAAGGCGAGTTCCCATCAGTCTTCTTCGAGGACGCCGGCGTGCAACCTAATGACATCCAGACGGTGCAAGTAAGCGCTGGCGCCAGTGTCGAGGTATACACAAGCGCCAACCTTACCGGAGACTTCACCACACTGGGTGCCGGTGAGCACGCCATTGGTCTTCAGTCGGTCGGCTCCATCGTAGTCAAGGCCGCTTAAATGCGGGACATGATCATATACAATTTGAGTACTAGATAGTACCTGAATATAGAAGATGTACGAACATACATGTTAGATTTGCTTGCTGAAAATTTGGGAATGGTTCCAAGCAAATTTCCCATGTCACAGGGTAGGACCATGGATCCTTTAGTACCATAATAAGGCATTGAAGTTACTATTCGAATTTACCATTACTAGGCAGCTTACATATCACGAGGCTTTATGACTCTGCGAGCGCAACGGATATGGCAAATAGACTCGTAGTGAGATAACTTCAAACTATCTAGAAAGGCTTTCTATTAGAAGCAAAAACCTAAGACGAAAGTTACTGCGCTATAGTAGTACAGCCAGCGATATTTCAGACACATCCATCTCGAAGTCCTTTTATCACGAGGATTTGAGTTGCTAAATTAACTCTAACCTAGAATGCCGAGCATTACATAGAGCTTTGGTTTGTTAGCGAAAAGCATTCCTTCCTAGCTGGCAATAGTGGGGAGGCATTGTATATAGACAACTCACGTGACAAGTGGGATATGAGGTGTTATTGTCTGTAATGGCTTACATAGCCATTGCTAGTGTTGTCAAGGCTACAGTATGCAGTGTGATGAGGGGTCGGGGGTGGCGGGTGTTAAGAGTAGGAGCGGCCTAGAGGATATATTAAGAAATTGAAAATCGTGTTCCTAATTTTAATTTTTTTTTTGAAACCAGGGGAATTAAAGTATCTTCAGGTCTTATAAGGAGTACACTTGGCTAGGCGCTGCCTATTATAGTCCGTACAAAGTCGGTGATTATCAGCGAATATCTGTTGTTGTATATTTTTGCCTCGCATGAATTCGAGCTGTTCTCCTTCAACTATTTTGATATTCTTTCTAGTTCATAGCTTTCAGAGCCCCGAAGGGAGTATCGATGTGTTCCCCACGTTATCTCGTCTATTGTATCGTATCCGACCTCATTCTCCCTAGCACGCATGGTGGACGTGGTCGTCGTCGATGGTCCTATAGCTTGCAACGTATTCCGGCCGGTCACCGCCGTCTTGAAGCCTTCTTCAAGCTTATTCTTCCCGACCTCATGATGAAATTCGCTTTGCCTATTTGATTTCATGTACCCGCCCTCCTCACTCGACTTCGAATGGCTGTACATTTCGCTGAACAACACACGTAGCACCGGGATCGAAGAGGCCACTATCGTCACATTGGGTTCCGCTTGTGCCCAGATGAATAGTAGCGATAGCCGGTCTGGAGTTCCCGAGTTAGTAAGTGAAGAAGACGGGTCTGGTGGATAACACCTACACGGAATATCTGCGCCCTCAGCTATCGTCGCAATCTTGACGACCTTGATAACACCGACCAAACCGGCGATGATGCCCAAGCTCATGGCAGTCGCAACACCGATCCTCTCGTGACGCTTCATTCCAAGCCTCCGCATAATTGCCCACGGTAACAGAGACAATGCGAAGTCTACCAGTGCAGAATAGCCTTGAAAGCCGTGTGTTAGTGTGGTCCCTTGTGCCAATCATGAGGCTATCAACGAACCATTCGACACCATCGCCATCACTACAAAGTCTTGGACTCGCCAACAAATACCCGGGATCACAGTTTCATACGTGTCCGCCGGCCAGTCGCAAGCGGCTATCCAACTTGCGACAGCGCCGGTAGCCAGCAACGCGTTCATCGATATGATCAGCAACCAGATAAAGGCCTTGCGTCGTCCAGACGAGATGCGAAGCAGGGTGACAGCAAACGATGTCTTGCTGAGGGCCAACGCAACACTGTTGATCACTATGTTGACGGATGAGAGGGTGTGCATGTGCGGCGTGAGATCGATCGTTTTGCCGAAGCCGAGCCTCGTGAGCTCCGTCGAGAGAGACGTCGAGATGAACAAAAACACCTGACGGAAATACGTCATTAATATTGACGGACAATAACTGGTGTTGTTTCCCTTTCCCTTACCCAAGATACTATCAGTATATGGTCGTCTATCCACATACCCCGGGATCTGATCTTTTTGCAATAAACACGGAGAAACAAAAAGATTGTCGACACCGAAATCATGGCCCATATTGAAGCCACCACCCGCGGCGCCGGGTCTTTGGAAACATCGATGACGATTTGAGAATCCGTAGAGTTGCTTCTTATCGCAAGCACAGATGCCGTACCTGAGGTACAACTAGCGGTCGCCATGTTCTCGCTGATGGGCATCTTAGAATGGAATGTAAGCTCTCCCAACGGTAGGATCGCTAGGCTGGGGGGGCGAGATTAATAGGTGAAGGACTCGCTTAATCCCGATGAAGACACTGAGAGCACTGACACGCGTGTCGAAAAAGAACAAAACAACTTTGTTAGATATGGGCCAGGCAACATGACGGGACTCCGAGAACATATGCATCAGACTAGAGGCACGCGGCATCCCAGCCGGTAGCTGCGGTCCAGGCTTCCGAGCCTCTCGGGCTACGTTTGCTGAGAGGGCCAGCCCTCTTTCCCGCAGGACAGGGGTTCTGTTTGGATGGAAAAGGGCGGATGTTGCGAGTTTCTGGGCAAAGGAGCGGATCCTGACCAGCGTGCGGCTGGCGATGCAGCAGTTTGAGATCCCCAACTAATGCGGAGCTGCAGTAGCGAATATCGGGACTCTTCGGCTTGTCCAAACCCCCTCGAGTATCAAGCTGTCTTAGTCCTTGATGTTTGACCAAGAAATATGAGCTTCGAGGCGAGACGGAACAACTCGTTGCCAGGGAGCTGAGGTTTTGAGCCGGTGCAGGGAGATTGCAAGACATGAGGGAAGGGAGCTCTGACGGAAGTATATGGTATCGCTGAGATTGTTTGCCTAACCCGGGTGCCCAGTTTCTGCCTTTTCCGAGCGGTAATCGCTGGTTTTTGAGACTTGGTCAATCACTGTTCTATGTATTGATTATCGCCTTGGTGAATGAGAGAGTCTTCATTATAATTAGTGCTACCCCGTTCATCTACAGTCTCCAAACTCGTCACTTGTGACAAATGTCGTGAGCATGTAACGATGAGAAAGTGACAGCTGTCATCATGCACGAATCACGGTGGCTCTTTCCCCTCTTCCTAAGGGCCTAAACTGAGACTTACCATGTAGCTTTTCTCCGGAGTCAGTCAGTGGCCGACAGCCGGCCAGAGGCTAACGTTGACCCCTTGTAAGGTTCACTGATTTTGACTAGCTACATGTTGTGGCGCCGGATGGAAGCGCTTCTAGGATTCAGGTCTGGCCCAGCCATTTGTTGACCTCGTGGGGGCTAAGCACATGTCGGAATAAGAAAGCGTCAAAGGGGCAGCTAGCCCTTGGACTCACAGACCCCTGTCAGCCGTGGATAAACATGAGCACACCACTCCTTTCTAACTAGATTGGACAAGAAGGATCGAGCATCCTCCAGTTGGGTTGTGTTTATGAGCATGACCTTCATTGTGGTTCGAGGGTAGTGGCAGCGAACATCAGGTCCAATTTCTCAAGTTCGATTTGCGGCTGGCTAGACGAGATGATAAGGGTACATTAGTAACTTGCCTAGAACTTTACCGTCATAGAACTTTTTGGAGTCGGTATTGGCACTTGAGTAGGTGACAAGCTGCCCCTGGTATGGGTGGTATGGAAAGATGAAGAAATCAGGCCATCAGAAGGAAACAGTCATATATGTCCGAAATTTCCATGCAGCAATACTTAATGCTTCACAACGGCACGTTCCAATGAACCGGCAGAAACCTGTAATCGGTTCCCTCGGGGTTTTTCTTTTTCTTTTTCTTGGTTTCTAGGGCCCAATGCAATGTATCCCTTTATTTAGAACTCTGGATTCCATTGTGTAAACTTCATCAACGCCCGCAGGAGATACAAAAGGACCTAGGCGAGTGCAAGCCACATGAAGCCGTTGTCTCTGTATCCCTTGAGCCGCGTATCATTTGTTGTGTACGTACTTGGAAACGGTGTCTGGCGCATCTCGGCTAGCGTGCGCCAGCTGTCTGTAGGGTACACATCAAACGGCCACCAAAGTTGGCCTTTTCCACTATCCACAGGATACTAAGCCGAACAGTGGTGATAGCTTTTCTTCTTCAGACACAAGCAGTAACATATCAACTACTTTTGTTCTCACCCATCCGAAAGGATATCCACCTATGTAACCAATCAACTATGCATTGGTGATGTTCCCCTAATAGAAGATTTGCAATGTCGACCTGCCATCAATAACATACAGTCGTCCTGCTTCTCGTCATACTACCTCAAGGCCACATAGCAACGGTGTCCGGCCGGGCTGATTAGGAAGAAATTCTCCATCTCCATCATGGCGTCCGTCATATTGTCCGCAAGCCGCACACCACGACAGTTCCTGAAAAAGATGACGGTCGCGAAGCGAAGCTCCATGCGCGCAAGGTGCACCCCCAAACAAGTGCGTGTGCCTGGCCCCCAAGGCGTATACAGTTGCTTCTGCTGCACCGTAACCGCGTCCGGGGTCAAGAACCGAGTCTCGTCGAACCTGGGTGTACTGAGTTAATAGTGCTTTTTGCGAAAGGGCAGCAGTTCACCTGGACTCACCTGAGAGGATCAGGTTAGACGTCTGGGTTCCGGTGAAGGGTGTAAGCCTGCGTCTCAACGACGGTGCCCTCGGGTATGAAGTAACCGCTGAGGGTGGCCCCTCCCGGCGGTACCGATCGCGGCAGGTTCCCCGGGGCCGCTCCGTAGAGGCGAAGGGTCTCGTCGATGACGGCGTTGAGCAGCGGCAGTCGCTCGAGAGTGGCGTCGTTCAACTCGTCACCGACGCCGGCCAGTTCCTCCTCAAGTCTAGCTTGAAGGTCGGGCTTCTTTAGAATAGCCTAGATCAATTACGTCAAGGTCACCGACGTCGTGTCAGAGCTAGCGACGATGAGGTTTCCTGCCTCGGTCTTGATGTGGTCTTCCGTCAGATCCGACTTTTCGTCGACCTCACTCTCAGCAAGCATGTTTCCAAATAGGTTGGCAGAGTGCCCGCTCCGTCGCAAGTTTACCACCGCCTTGACAGCATGACCATCCACCGTTCCGTATCGATTTGAATGGGAGGACACGTGCTATGCGGTATAGGAGCGGCAGCTCATGGCGGATCGCCGTCATTACAAAAAGTGATTGCAGGGCTTCGATGTATTCGTTTTTCTAACTCCTGCCCAGCATGACCACGTTTTCAATAGACAGGCCAATCGAATGGATTTCTAACCACCTGGCCCAGCTCTAGCATGTCAAAGGACTCGACGAAAGAGAGGTGGGCAATGATGTCGGTGGTCATGAGCGTCCACCATTTCAGCAGGTCGGCCGTATCCTAAGGCCAGAAAGTTGAGGCTATCATTGCGAGTTGTGCCAAGCTTGATGCTCAAGGCACTTTTAAGAGTTGTAGTTCTCCGTCGGCGCCAACAACCTCTCTCAGAGCGAACAATCATTCACTTTTGAATGCGAACGACACTCATGAGAGGTCCCGGAAGAACCCGGAAAGCCTGTGACGAATACGACCCTCGTCCGTGCCGGCTCCCGGGTATTCGCGGTCGTCGAAAAAATAGGTTCGATCCCTGCTCGCGTATAGTATCACTCGGCATCGGAATCATCAGACAGATGCTATCCGAACCGAACGCGGGGTGGTGGACCACTCCGCGGTAAGGATCACACTGGCCGACCGATGGCCCGGAGGAATAATATGTGAAGACCGAGTTGCCCCACGAGAAATCACAGCCTGGCACAGTTCCAGAGGGAAGATGTCACCTGCATGATGGATGCCCGTACGAGGTTGAAAACGGAGCATGTTACAAAGGAAGCAAGTTACGCGGCAACAAGACATGACGGGACCTGGGAAGCATGTCCCCCGCGTCTCAAAAAAGCAAGAATTGAGCAATTGCAGAGCCATTAACGAAAACATTAAACTACTACATAGCGTAGTACGCAACACTTTGCCGTAGAAGTTAGAGGCTACTTGAGGACTTTGTGAACGTCAACTCAATACGCCATCATACTTGTATTAATCCATAATATCCCACTATCTTATCCCCTTCGGTCACTTGGCTACACTAGTAAAAGGCGTTTCTCGTCAACCGGTCCACCTATATCTTGTAGCTCTGAGTCACTCTTGTCACAAAGATCCAAGGTTGGTTTTCATCTCAACGGTACCAGATCATTAATAATATTTGAATAGTAATGAGGGTCACATAATAATGCCTGCCTTACGTAACCTAAGGCTAAGCAAATTAGCTATTGTAATATTTTAGTGTAAATCCCTTGTGAATGCGAACTGCATGGAGTAATAATGCAATCCTAGTTGGTTGAGTGGTCCCTGTTATTGCCGTCCAAATACTAATGATGACCTACTACTGTAGGGTATTATGATTTTCATTTTCCAGGGTACTTGTTTCCTTTTCCAGGGTACTTCGTCTCTCAGCACTTTCAGTTTGCTTTTTTATTCAGGCAGGAACCAACTGACCACCCACCTGCCCCCACTCCTTCTCTTATCGATATGGATTAATGGGTCTGACAGGGCGGTAAATGCCGGCAGAATAATTGATATGCGCATTTTGAGCTTCACAAACTCGGCACCTCAGAACCACCAAACTCACCTCCCTCCCACATCCTATCCAGATGATTGCTCTCCGTCACGCGTGGGAAAAACCTCTCCTCACACACCGTCTTCTCACGAGGGCGGCGGCCACCGGCGCTGCGGTACGGTTGAGCAAGGATATCCTCAAGACCAAGACGCCAACGGCCAAGGATCTCGCCAAAACGAGGATATGGACCACACAGGCCGACCGAGTGAAGGAAATCAAGGCCGCCAAGAAAGCGCCGAAAGGAAAGGCCAAGGAAAAAGTGAAGAAGCCGCTCGGCGACAAGGCCCGCGTCAACATCGTCAGCGACGAGCTGTGCGGTGCGTATACAGCCCCTTCCTACCCCCCCTCCTCCTCCGCCTCACTATCCTAGATATGAGACAACCCGCGAGCCTGCCGGCTGACTACGAGACGTCTCTGCAGATGACATCCTCAAATACATTGGCCCGACACTCCAGCGCCACCGCGGCTGCGACCTCGTCGACATCAATCCTGGCGCTGGCGTTTGGAGCACTAAGCTCCATGAGTTCCTCCAACCGCGCTCCCACATCCTCATGGAACCCGACGCAGACCTCTACCGGCCCTTTCTCGAACCTCTTCTCCAAAGATCCAACACGCAGCTGCTGCCACAGTCTGGCATCCTGTGGAAGGAGCTCAACGAGGCGCTGGGCCACATCCAGAACCAGACCCCGCGGCCGCATGACCCCGCCGCCGTGCCGGAGCGCAACGACACCCTCCTCCTGACGGCCAACCTGGCTTTCTACCCCAAGAAGCGCTACCGTAACTTCGACTCGGTGGCGCAGCTCGTCCTATACCAGCTCATCAGCAGCATCCGCAACGGCAACCTCTTCCAGAAATACGGCCTCGTGCGCATGCTCATCTGGACGGGCCCCGACGAGCAGTACAACTTCCTGGCCAAGACCGTCCAGGGCCGCAAGAAGTCGGTGCTCGACGCCGAGTTCGCGTGCGAGTGGCTCGCCGAGGTCGCCAGCCGGGATATGATGCTCGACACCAAGCCCGACGCCCGGTTCGTGCGCGACCGGTGGATCGACATCGACAGCACGCGAGACACGATGGCGAGGATGAAGGCGAGCGGGCTCGCGATCCCCGAGGGCCGGAAGCACAGTATAACGAAGCGGCTCGAGGAGGAAGCCGCCGCCTATGATGGGCCGCAAGCAGGCGCGCAGGTGTCGCGCCTGCACCGGCCGTACTTCGCCGAGATCGAGGCGCTCGAGCAGGCGAGCCGCGACGGCCCCCTTGACGCAAAGAAGCGGGCTCGCCTCTCGTTCTTGCGACACCAGGCTGAGCGCCTTGAGGAGTGTGTCGTGAACTACCATGACCTCCTAGAGGAGATGAAGGCGATTGCTCGGCTGCGCCAGCGCATCTACGACAGCGACAGCGACGGCGACAAGGCGGCCGCCGAGGCGGAGTTCGCGGCGCGCGACCGGGCGTGGAACGAAAAAGTCGGGGCGTTTGGCAAGAACTTCTCCATCGACTTCCGGCTCATCCGCGATAATCTGCACGTCTTCCGGCAGGAGCCGTCGGCGTTGCTCTGGGACCGGCGGCCGTACGAGCCGCTGGCGGTGCGGGCGGACGAGTTCTTCCCCAACGCCGAGTGCACGCTGCTCGACATCCAGCCCAAGGCGATGCACCCGTTGCTCCGGCAGACCGGGCCCGGCACGTCGCGGGCGGGCGACGCCTTCGAGATGCTGCAGCGGTCGATGTTCAGCGCCAGCAACGACCCGATCAGCCGGTCCGTCGAGCGCATCTGGCCCGGCGCGGCCGAGGGGATCCTGCCGAACTGCCCGAGCCTGCGGGACCCAGCGCGGGGCGGGGTGGCGGGGACGGGCCACGGCGAGATTTGCGCGCGGGCGCTCAACGAGAAGCAGTGGACGGAGCTGCTCGAGGCCTTCATGGCGTGGCCTTTTCGGCCGACGTACCAGCAGTTGATCGGGCGGCTGGCGGATGACTTCGAGCCCGCCGCCGACGACGACAACAACGGGGCCGGCAGCAGCCTTTCGGCAGAGAGCGTCTTGTCATAGGGGAGAGCGGCGACGGATCATACCCGGGGATGGCTGCGGACGCGGGCAGCCCTCCCTGGCCCCGACTGAAGAAACGTCTACTCCTGATTTGTACTATGTATATGTAAACCTGTACTATCTATGTAATCTACGTATATACTGTATGTATGTATGTATTGTACGCATTGTATGCGCGACACCCATGGCATTCACAAGGATGTAGATTTGCAACTTTGCATCTCGCCACGTGCACAGTGGCCGTTTACCCTGTGCCTGTTCTGTGAAATAGCGAGCCCGTGTAAGATTGGTGCCACCACAGCCGAGCCCACGCGGATGCGGTGCACCACAAGCGATGCGGTTGCGGTACGGATAATGCTGTATTTGATTTTTTCTTGCGGGATTTGCATGCCGGCGTCCGGGGTAAGGGGAGGGCCTGTGGCGATCCAGGCCAACTCGGGTCGCTGATAGATGAGACTAACCTCGTTTCCGCGCGTCCCCTTGAACTCGAATTTGGGGAGGGATGGGCTGGGATGGAATGGAATGGAACACGTCTAAGGGGGTTTCCGACCCAAGTTTCCCGCCACAACCTGGGGGGGGGGGGGGGTTTGCGTGACTCCGGGATGTTTGGTTTGCAATATGATTAGAGGCCTCCCGCAAAACGAGTCATCTTTAACCGTGCGATCCGTCTTTCTGTCTTTTCTGAGACGGGAAACCTGCGTGTGTCCGTGTCGAACCCGGAGGCTGCGGTGGGGGGGCCGACGGGACATTTGGGCTTCCGTCCGCTTCTGAGTTACCGTTGCTTAAGTTTGGGGCTGCATACTCAGCGCACGCCGTACTCATATAGTATGACATGACGTGCGGAAGGGGGGCCAGAGTGAGTTTGTGAGTAAGTCAGCCCCTGCTGGTGGTGGTGGTGGTGGTCAAGGTGATTGACAATCCCCCTCCCGCTTCAAAGAAGGAGAAAAGGAGGAGACTAATTTATTTCGTCCTTGGCAGATGCGGCGACGAGCTCAATCAAGGTCGGGGGCACTCCAAGATGGGACGGATGGGATTGATGGGGACGTGGTTGATCGACCTGACGAGACAGGGGATTGATGTCCAAGGGAAGGGGACGGGAGAGCGAGAGAAGATTAAGACGCAAGCCTTGCCCTTGGGTTTCGACAGAAGCACATGGGCGGAGGAGATCTTCCCAGGTGCCCCCTCACCTCCATGACGACAACGCCACAGGGGAGGGCAGAGGGCACGATGAGAACTGTGTCGTGGAAACATGCAAACGTAACGAGCAGGGGGGGAGAAGGGTTTACCTGCGTTTGACGGATCTATGTTTGGGGGGGGCGGGTGATGATAGAGGCGATGCTTTCGAGATGTAGAATAGAGGTTTGGAAAACAGGTTGACGAGGAGAGCTGGAGGTCGGGACTCACTCAATGCGGAACAGATGGATTGTCTCGGTTCTTTGGATTCTTCAGCGAGGATTTCCACCTTGGACGCGTATGGACGGACACCAGATGGCACTACTCCACACATTCCACACATCAGTGCGTGTGCATACAAAGATAGAGTGTCTTGAGCCCAAGTCCCGACACACATGCCTATTCCACGTGTGGTTTCGAGACAATGGGGACGCGATCAGCACACAGCCATCCACGGCCGTCCGCTCGCCCGAGTTTGAGAGTGCGATGTGCATATCTGCCGTACGCTAGTTTGTTGTATGCGGTAGGTACAAAGTATATCAGTGTCGAACCGAACAGTGTGGAGGACGGCCCATCTGCATCTCGGCTGGGCGTTGCATCTCAATTGTGCGTAGTGGGACGAGCCCACCATCTCCGTTCCCATTGCTTCACATCCAGAGGGATCTCCCCACGGCCACAGAATGCTTGACAGCCAAGGCGGCCGCATGGGACGAGGTGGTGTGAGACCCCCGGTGGATTGGATGGATACGCACACGGTGTATCTCACAGTGTCTGTCTTTTGCCAGTGTGTGTGTGTGTGTGCGTATCCTGCTGGGACGGAGATGTCACGTCGCCATGTTTCTGGTTGGGTCTGTCGTGGAGAATGCGAAGCCGAGGATGCATGGTGGTGTTTAATTGTATGTAAAGAGGAATGAGTGAGAGGGTCACTCATGCTAGGATGACTCACTCGAAACTCACTCATTCAAGACATACTCAAGACCTCACTCACTCAAGATGCGTTCACTCATGGCAAGCTCTGCCAAGATGAGACAAACTCACTGGCGGGCCTTTCGACGAGCACATGCACTCATCCCCCTGGCCTGTCAATCTGATAAAAAGCGCTGGGCCTAACTCCAAGACCTAGCGTCAGTCACTTATTAGCCAGCAGCATACGGATACATCGTGAACCCCTTACCTTAGCGCCGACCCGTCATCGCTGGATAGAGGTTGTGCTTGTACCTGTACTTATGGGAGGTCGGGTGATTGATGTGTGAATGGGGGAGGAGACCGAGACCTCGTGTATATGTACTCCCCCTCTACATAGGTGGTATTCCCCCTTCAAACGATGCGATCTGGCAGTCTGGCAACCTGGAAAAGGGGCACACAGACAGTTAGTTCCAGTAGGCAGACCCAAATGGGTAGATCAGATAGTGTAGGTAATAGTGCCTTGACTGGGGTCACTCGTGGAATGAATCATAGCGCCAGCCTCCCGCCCCTGTTCCCCTGGTTGCGCGGTTTAGCGTCGTGTCAGTCAGTGGCTTGCTTCTTCTGCTGTCCTTGTCTCCCTTGTTTGGTCGTTTGATGTTTCTCCCATTGTCATTGTCATGATGCTCGTTCCTGTCTCGGTAGTTCACTGGAACGGAGCGGTTCATGAGTGGCTACATGATATTTTGCGACTTTATTATTATTATTGTCATTAGTTGCTCATATACGGGGTATAGTTGGTTACGCTTGACCATCCAAATCATGCCCGTCATCGACTCTCGTTCCGGCCTACTGGATCAGCTTCCATGTGTATATAACCAAGGCTTGAGTTCTCGATTATAGGGCACATCATCAGAGATTGCGTGCGGTGCTCTCGAAACTTGCCGCCCGGAAACATCGCGGACTTGCATCGCTGCTCGGTGCTTGATGCTTAATGCTTGCGTGATGCTCGACCGAAACCAGCCGTTGACGCACCCAAGCGATTCCGGCGTCCCCTTGCCTGTTCGTCCAAGCCCGTCCTCGACAGACATACAAGCAAGACAGCCAGCCCTTTTGAGGGGAAAAGAGAGTCAGAGACACGGCCGGGCGAGAAACTACAGTCTGCAGGGAGCCCGGTATTACCATCGTCCAACAGCCCAGCGGCCAACTCTATCGGTGTAACCTCAACCTACCTACGACTAGACAGCTGGGACTCTACTAGGAAGTATCCCGCTTTTAAGACCCTTGGGATCCCCTCCCGTGGTCATTTGAAACCGGCCTGGGCGTCCCTCCCTCCACCTAATCGCGCGTACCCTCATCCCCGTCCCCGTCGCAGTTGTGTATGTGTGTGTGTGCGTGTGTGTGTGTGTGTGCGTACATAGTTTGTAGTGTATACGTACAGATACTGTACGGATACAGAGTGTGTATACGTACGTACGGATACACCACGTCTAGTGACTTGTACGCCTACTACATACGGATACAGTATGCAGTTTACATGTAGCTCCATCCCGGGATCCATCCCATATCCCTCCCGCACCACTACCAAATCCACATCTTTCGCTCATCCCTCTCGGATCAGCATATCCACGCCCGCCCATCCCACTTTTGTTCCTCCTTCTCCGTTCTGACACCGCCAGCTCTACACTGCCGACCTCGACCGTCCCTCCATCCACTCTGCATCGTCACTTCACCTCCAACTATCCCGCCGTCTTTTCCTAATTCACCCCGGGACGGATCGCCCTGACCTCCGCACCGACAACATCCCCGTTTCGACACTAGCCCCCCCGACGAACGAGCTCTCCGCGCAAAGCCAAATCCGCCGACTCCCTGCTTCCCGCCCCCCGGTCCTCCAGCTCGAACTCCCTCCGACTCTTATTCCGTTTGTTTTTTTTCGCTCTTGCTCAAAGCGCTTTCCTGTCGCTCTCTCCTTGTTCAACCTAGTCCTCGGCGGCGCCAACCCATAACGACTTCGAGCAGGTTCCATAGCGTGCGGTGCCATTCCTCACCTAGTTGGATTGAATATCGCCGACCTGGCATCACCACTCCGAGAACCTCCTTGCAGAACCTCGCTTCACCCTCTCTCCGCTCGAATCCAATCCACCGCCGTTCTGCGCGCGTCTACGTCGCACCCCTCGTTCGCTACTGTCCGCCGCAACCGGAATTGGCCTGGCTGAGCCGGCCGCCAGGTCCAATCTCCCCTTCCCCTCCACCCCCGTCGACCTCGAGCGCCTCTCCCTTTTCTCTGTCCCCGAGTCGGCCACAGTTCGGCAAGCCCCGACGCCGACCCCCTTTGCGACCAACATCTCGCGACCACCCGCCATGGTCAAGCTCATGACGCCTGCCTTCCCGCCCCGGCGGCCCTCGAGCCTCCTGCGCTACGCCGTCGTCGTCATCTTCGTCATCGCCCTCTTTTACTATTTCGATCCCCGGTACCCGAGAGAGCCCTCGACGAGGCTGCAGTCCGAGAAGCCCGAACAGATACCTCAGAAGGAGAACCCTGTCCCACCGCCCCCTACCCAGGTCGACGGGTCCGAGAAGCCGATATCCCAACCCGAGTCGACCCCCATACTGCCGTCGGTACAAGCCCACACTGATGCTGCTGCTGCTGCTGCTGCCACTTCCGCCTCCGCCGCCGTCGGTAAGCCCGTGCCGGGAGGCTCGAAACCCGCCGACGGGTCATTCAAGAAGCCACACCCCATCGACACGCTGATCAAGGAGGCCGGCGAGACGTTTGATGGGCTGCTCAAGAAGGAGTCCAAGACGCTGACGGATGCCGCCAAGGCCTACCGCGAGCGCCGCGGCCGCCATCCGCCCCCGGGCTTCGACGCCTGGTTCCAGTTCGCCCAGGACCACCGCGCCGTCATCGTCGAGGACTTCTTCGACCAGATCTACCACGACCTCCGGCCCTTCTGGGGCGTCGAGCCCGCACGCATCCGCAAGGAGGCGGCCGAGTGGGAGATGGTTATCCAGGTCCGCAAGGGCCGTGCCTCCCGCGAGAGCGACTGGTTCTGGACCGTCCACTGGACTGACATGATCAAGACCATCGAACACTTGCTGCCCGACATGGACATCCCCCTGAACCCCATGGACGAGCCGCGCATGGTCGTGCCCTTCGAGGACATGGAGCAGTACCTAAAGAACGCCGACCTTGCCCAGGCCCAGGGCTTGCCCGACCCGACGCAGGTCTTGAGTACATTCCAGACGCTGCCCAAGAACAAGAAGGAACTAGACCGCAACGTCAAGGTCCAGAAAAAGTACTGGGACAAAGTAACGAGTATGCGCCCTGTTCTCCTCCCAATCCACATTGTGTACCAAACTCTGATCAAACTCCCTGCAGAACAGTTCTGGCTTATCGCCCGCCGCGGGTGCCCCCCCGACAGTCCGGCCCGTCTGGCCAAGGCACAGACGACGTTCGACCACCCCCCGAATATCTCGACAAAGTACGCCGCGGCGCACATGCGCGACGGCTTCGTCTCCAACTACACGCTCTCGACGCAGATTTGCCACCAGCCCGACCTGCAGGGCCTCAACGGCATCTTCATCGAGCCCCTCAGCACCTCGGCGACGCCCGTGCTCTTCCCCATGTTCGGCGGCTCCAAGCTGGCCGTCAACAACGAGATCCTTCTGCCGGCGGCCATGTACTGGACCACGGAGGAGCGCTTCAGCGGCGGCGGCGAACACGGCGGACCATGGGGGGAGAAGCGCGACGAGGCCGTCTGGCGCGGCGTCGCCACGGGGGGCCGCAACCGCGCCTCCAACTGGCAGGGCTTCCAGCGCCACCGCTTCGTCGCCATGAACAACGGGACCAAGGTGAAGACCGCCGAGAAGGGCGCGGCCGCGCCCGTCAACTTTGCGCTACCCGACAACAGGCTGTACGACATCGCGGCGCGGGCTGCCGGCGCGCTGGGCGACTGGGTGAGGTCGTGGGCTGACGTTGGCTTCACGGACCTCATGTGCGAGCCCCGCAACGAGGACGGCGGCGGCGAGTGCAACTACACGAGCCCGCACTTCAGCCTCGTCGAGAGCGTCAACATCGCCGACATGTACTACTCCAAGTACCTTCCCGATATCGACGGCAACAGCTTCTCGGGCCGGTACCTCGCCTTCCTCAGCAGCACGAGCCTGCCGATCAAGGCGACGCTGTGGCGCGAGTGGCACGACAGCCGGCTCGTGGCGTGGAAGCACTTTGTGCCGATGGACAGCCGGTTCGGCGACTACTACGGCATCATGGACTACTTTCTAGGGTACGGAGCCGAGCGGCCCGGCCACGACGCCGAGGCGGCGCGCATCGCGAGCGACGGCAAGGCGTGGGCCGAGAGGGCGCTGCGACGCGAGGACATGCAGATCTACACGCTGCGGCTGCTTCTCGAGTACGCGCGCGTGACGGACGAGAGGAGGGAGAAGATGGGCTGGGCGGACGACCTGCTGGCGGAGAAGAAGAAGTCGGCGGAGAAGACGACGTGATTTGGCAAAAAAAGGGGGCTTCGGCGGTCAAGAGTACTACCATGGAGGATCCCCGGGGCGACAGGCGTTATAGGAGTCGAGATGGGAGTACCGGCAGCAGGCTCAAGGTTCTTGTTCTTTTTTGTACGCATGCAAAGGGTTCTTATTTTTTTACGTTATACCATTGGGCTCTTGAACTAAGGGAGGGACAAAAAGGTAGAGAGAAAGCACGGGACACCATCCTCATCATCATCATCATCATCATAGGTACACTGTACAACAATCGAACAGCACTATCCAGCCACGTCTAGCTCGTCATGCGAGGATAATAGGGTCCGCACCCGAATGGATTATCGAGAAGGAGGATATGAGGCCGAGTTGCGGGTTCACTAGACACATTTGCACATTGGACAGCATCGACACTTGCGTTCACGTCTTTGCTGGCCCTCACGGTCCATCGTTTGGTCGGAGCACCGTCCGCGATACCATGGCCTGCCTGGGTAGGTAGTCAGCCTCGATCGGCTTCGAGCGGCCCGTTCCTCGGCGATGGTAGAGGCAGCTCCGAGAGAAGCCGGGTTCGACGGGGTTCGGACCCATACAGCCCCCTCCATGTCCCTTATGTCGTGGCCACGATCCCCAGGCGGTTCTGGCGTCGTGGCCATTCCTTCGCATGCCGAGAGAGGTCATCGGGCGACCTCTGAGGACCATCAGACGGATGCGAGGCGGCACGAGTCAAGAGCTCGAGACAGCCTCGAGGGTCTCGAGACGATGGGAGGCGGTTTATTTTACGTAAAGGCAGGGAGAGCCCTTGCTCGTCAAAAGTCTGTGCAGCGAGGAAAGGTTTCTCACCGTGGTGGTCAGGTGTTTCCTTGGTCGCAACTCTCGCGGGGGAGTTGGACAAAGTCTCACTCCGGCTCGCGCCGGGAGAAAAAGAAGACGTCGGCGACAGCGGCGGGGAGGAGGGTGAAGACGGGGTCAGGTCAGTCAGTCAGTCATGGGACCTGTTTCTCCTGATGCCGATTGCTAACAGAAACCGAATCGGAAACGCAAGTGGTCCAGGGCTGTCGTGTGAGTGGTAGAATCTGATGTAAGAGAGAGAAATCTTTGTGGAGCAGTGGAGGGCCTCAAAGCCAGGTGGTCAATGGGCAGTAAGGGCAACCGGCAGCACACGCGGCCAGTGGCTGGAACCCCCCTCCGGGGGCGTTGGGCCGATAAGCGGTGACGGCGATAAGGGACGCGGCGGAAGCGCGACAAAAGGGCCGAACCTCGAGAAATTGACATCTCGTAAAGCCCGAAACGACAGAAGCCGACACCACCGAAGACGAGGAACGGGAGAAGAGAGAGGTCGCCGGTGATGGAGGGAAAAGGGAGGAGGGGGTATGCCACACCCCCTTCCCTTCCCAGCGAAAAAAAAAGAAAAAAAAACCAAGAAAAAAATGATTGCCGCTCAAACTGAAGCGTAATCAAATCCCTAGGCATAACAAGCGTGCCCCCTTCTTCGCGTCGTCCTGCCATTAGGGAACATCGCCAACTCGCGGACGGGGGGACTCGGGCGCCCTTTAAATAATGCCTCGCGGAGCCCACCAACACACCTGCCGTTAAGTGGTACAGCTCCGAGGGCGCCAGGCCCCTAAGTGCAGGTGGTCCAGTGGGGTGACCCACGCCGACGGCGCGCCTCGGGGGGTCACGGGAGGGCCGCTGATGCGCTGATGCGGTGGTGTTCCCCTAAGTGCAGGTCTACCCGCGGTGGACTCTCTCGGGGGACCTAAGGTACCTTACGGGCTGCTAGGACGCTGACGTGACGTCCACCGCTGAAGATTGTATCGTCCGAGGTATTGTTTGTGCGTTGTCGCTGCGGGAAAGTACGTGAGGGGCACAGCATGTGCTCTCTTCTCTCATGGGCGAAGGTACCTTATCAATGTACGCTGTACGTAACCAGCCATGATAACGCATTACCTAGGTACCTACTCCGTACTGAGAGGGTAAAAAGAAATAAAAAAAATACCCCGCCATCCCACCATCACCACCACCACTGACGCACAGCTTCCGTCCTGCCACCTGCGTGTCTGGAATCTGGAATGCGCGTATCGACGGAAGGAGAGAAGCCATGCTCTGCCATCCTCCGCAACCGAGTCAACCCCGGCTTCGCGGGTCCTGAGAAAGATACATACTTTCTGCCCTGGCTGCTTGTTCCGGACGAGATCCCAGATACCCCCATCGGTCCGTCATCCTAGCATCCCCGAATTAACACCTGTACGCAGTAACACGCTTCGAACCACATAACCTTGATCGCCCACCCCAGCTTCCTTTTCCTCCTTCCTCCTCCTCCTCTTCTTCTTCTACTTCCCTCTACATCTCCCTCTTCTCTCCTCCTCCTCCTTCTCTTCTTCTTCTCCTTCGCGTCCATTCCTCTCGCCAATACCTCTTCCCCCTCCATCGAGAGCCAACGTCAGCTCTCAGTTCTCAGTTACACCACCACCACTACCATCAGTCAGCACCTCGGCGACGCATTGCAACCATGCACACGTCAATGGTCAAGTCCAAGTTCCTCAGCAACCCCGAGGACCTGGGTGTAGTCGCCGTCGGTTTCTCCGGCGGACAGGTAAGTTCTCTCCTCTCCTCTCCCGCTCACGAGCTCTGTTCACCATTCTCCTTGGTTACGACATGACTGACGGAGGCCAAATGCAGTGCAAGCCGGGCGTCGACGCGGCTCCCAAGGCCCTCATCGAGTCGGGTCTGCTCACCCAGCTCCGCGACGAGCTCGGCTACCGGCTGCATGGCCACGACGAGGTGCACCTCTACACGGACCTCGTGCCGGCCGAGGACCCCCCCTACCGCAACATGAAGAACCCGCGCGCCGTGTCGGCCGTGACGGAGCGCATCGCCGATCAGGTCTACCAGCAGTCGCGCCTCGGCCGCCTGACCCTCACCCTCGGCGGCGACCACAGCATCGCCATCGGCACCATCGCCGGCTCCGCCCGCGCCACCCGCGAGCGTCTCGGCCGCGAAATCGCCGTCATCTGGGTCGACGCCCACGCCGATATCAACACCCCCGAGACAAGCGGCAGCGGCAACGTCCACGGCATGCCCGTCGCCTTCCTCACCGGCCTCGCCAAGGAGGACCGCCCCGAGTATTTTGGCTGGCTGCGCGACGAGCACCGCCTTAGCCTCAAGAAGCTTGTCTACATTGGCCTGCGCGACGTCGACCCGGGCGAGAAGCGCATTCTGCGCGAGAACGGCATCAAGGCCTTTAGCATGTTTGACATTGACCGGTAAGGCTTCTTCCCTCGTCTCCTCTCCGGGAAGTGTTTCCCTGCGTATCCTTTCAGACGACTGACATGGCCCGCCAGGTACGGCATCGGACGCGTCATGGAGATGGCGCTGGCGCACATTGGCAGCGACACGCCGATCCACCTGTCATTCGATGTGGACGCTCTGGACCCCATGTGGGCGCCGTCGACGGGGACGCCGGTTCGCGGGGGCCTGACGCTGCGCGAGGGCGACTACATCTGCGAGTGCGTGCACGAGACGGGCAGCCTCGTGGCGCTGGACCTCGTTGAGGTCAACCCGTCGCTGGCGGCAGAGCAGGAGGGCGCGGCGTCGGAGACAGTGCGCGCGGGCTGCTCGCTAGTGCGCTGCGCCCTGGGCGAGTCGTTGCTGTGAAGGACGGCCTTCGGCGGCGTGGCGGGCGATTTTCGATGAGGTGATGAGGGTGACGTTGAGGACAACGAGAGCAACTACGGAGGTTCCCGCAAAGACGAGGAAACCCATACAGACAGACAGACACAGATCTGCGGGGTCATGGGAGGCGAAGGCGGAGGGGTTCGATTCGGCGCACATATGGCCAGGGACTGCATGGGAAACGGCTGTGGATAGAAGAGACAGGGGGGTTTCCGTCAGACTTTTGAGAGAGAGAGAGAGAGAGGGCAGCTCGTAGATGAATAATACCAGAGCAATGTTCATTTTTACACGTTATGTTACCGGTTCTCGGACGGATGCTCGTGTTATGCAACGTAGATGCCGATGCGAGGAGGGCTTCACCTCTAGTTTTGCACGTTCACCTTGGTACCCTTACCTAGGTAAGTAGGTAGGTACCTACCTTGCTTTATGTACGTCTACGTACCCGTCTGTGTGTCCGCACGTCTGTAAAGCAGGGCTGACAGACTGGCTTGGTTAGTCACCAACAAGTGCTGGAAAAGAGCGGTGACGGACGATGGCGGGCTCGGGTGCGTTCCGGCGGTTGAGAAAGGAAGGAAGGAAGAGGGGAAAGAAGGAGAAGTAAAGGAAGGAGGAAAGAGGAAGGAAGGAGCGAGAAAAGGCGGTCCAAGAGTCACCGGAGCCCGGACCGGGTGGGGCCGGTGTGCCTGACAGCTGCGGGAAGGCGCGGGCCCACTGCAGGTCCTCCTCCGCGTCGGAAGGTACGAATAGTGAGTCGCCGTTGCTGCTGCTGTTGCTGTTGGTTGCTGCCAATGGCCGGGGAGGTGAAAGGTGGAAAGTGGAAGGTGGGAGCGCGGCCCCCTTCTCGCCCAGCCATCGCCATTTCTCCCGTTCGCCCAGCCTCCTCTGCCCGATTAGAGTTTTTTTTTTTTTTTTTTTTTGCACGATACTACCCCCAAAAGCAGATTTATCGCGACCGTGTCAGGGCTTTAAACTTGAGTTCGCGTTGTTCCGTCCCTTTTTGTCGGGTCGAGCGTTGTATTTGACCGTCGCACTCTCCCTCTGCCCATTTCCCATGTGCGAGTGCTGACCTCGACAGACCACCCCACCCACGTACAGCTGCACTTACACGAAAACGAGTCTCGATCTCATCGACTATCAAAGTCGCTACCACCGTACCAAAAGTAAGGAAAGACGTGGTATTGGTCCCCATTTCGAGAAAACCGCTGTTTGCGTATTACTGCCGTATTCCTGGGCTCTCGTCGCAGCCCAACTAGCACCAAACAACAAGAACCTCGTGGACAGCAAAAGCAACAAAGGTGACAAGGGTACGTCTGTCTGCAGCAGCACCTTTGACGTGGCACACGCCCCAAACCCAAAGCAAACCCTGTCTGTCGTCCAGCACCGACATCAACAGCGCCGTCAAAACACACGCCGCCCAGCCATCCACCAATCGCCCCCTCTCGTCCCGTTTAAACTCGACGAGCCGCTGCCACGCTGACGGGACGAACGAACGGACGAGACTGAATCCCCCCTCTTCTCGACCTTCCCTCCCTCACCGGACGAATCGCGACAGCCCCGATTCTTCAGTCCATCCCATCCAATCCATCTGTCTTGAGAGTTACTGCTGCTGCGGTACCTGCGTTTACTTGTTGTCCAAGACGAAAAGTACCGCACTTCGCCTGGCATCGCCTCTCCCTCTCCACAGCGAAACCCAAACACGCCCAACACCAAGCCGCTGACGAGCGACATCGCCCATTGCGCCGACGACGGAGGCGGCGCATAACCGTGCATAATCCACATCATCTTGGGCTGCGACCTTCGGACGACCCGGCGGCGATAGCTCACCCCCGATCTGAAGCCCGCATCGTGCGCGCTTCTTGTTGCGGCGTCTCCCCGCCTTTCCCGCCAACTGACAGATTGACTCGATACGCCATCTCGTCAGTGGGTGATTCCGGTCCGACGATTTAAATACCGACCCCTGCGAGCACTCCCCGATTGAACTGCACTGTCCACCATCGAACTCGAACGAACTTGCACTTCCGCAGACACACCGCGCCTTCATCGACAGCCCCCAATCGAGCCGCACGGTAGATACACCCCCTCTAAATCGCCCACGATGGTGGCCTCCACGGTAACGGACAGCTCCTACTATGAGCGGCGCGTCGTCGAGCGCGTCCACCGCTACCAGTGGCCCGGCATCCAGCTCAACCTCTGGATCCTTATCATGCTCGTCGCCTCCTGCCTCATCATCGGCGTCTTCGCCTCCTTCATCGACGTCCAGCAGCAGCTCCTCCTCCCTGTTCCCTGGTACTTCCCCTACTACATCACCGTCGCCTGCCTCGTCATCCTCTTCATTGGCCTCCTGCTTTGGCTCGTCTACCAACGCCGCTTACTGCCTGCTATCGTCATGATCGGCGCCTTCATCCTCTTCATCCTCTGGTTCGTCGGCCTCGTTGTCATCAGTATCCAGCTCTGGGGGCCCGACGGCTCCGTCTCGAGCAACTGTAACCTCGCCGTCTTCAACCGCGACCCCACCGGCCAGAGCCTCGATACGCTCGCCTGGCTGCAACAGCGAAGTATATGTGAGTTTTAGCCTCTGTCTTTGGTCCTTGGTCTTTGGTCTCTGGTCTTTGGTCTTTGGTTCTCTGGCCTGCTTCTGTGACGATCGAATTTGCTGACAATGTGATGCAGGCCAAGCGTGGCAGGCCGTCTTCTCCTTTTCCCTTGTCGGCGCCATCTTCCTGCTGTGGATCATGGTCATGGCGTACCAGGTGTTTGCCAACTCATGAACACTTAGGCTATGCGGTGGTGTGCCCGCCGCGATGAATATTTTGCACATTCAAAACCTCTGGCGCCGCCAACATACATGCCTCGCTAGTTCTCTGGGGCTGTGCACATTTGTCTGCCTTTTCTTTTTGAACATTTTCCAACATATAACGCCCAACGACATACGTCCAAGACATACGCTCTACAACGCTACATACGCGGCCACCGGGGCCAACGGCGTGGGGGTTAATTTATGAGCACACGTTTCACGTCTGTAATTGAGGGGGTCTTTGCGGTTTATTTTTCTTCCCCTTGGAGCGATTGCATCTACAGGCGTTTCCCGGGCTTGCGAGTCCTGGTATGATTTGTTCTTTTTTTATTGCAAGCATGATGTCAAGCGGAAGTTGGCGAGGAGAGGATGGACATAGGCTCAAGTTGTATGATGATGATGATGATGATGATACAATCGGAAAGGTTGAGTAGCAGGCGGATGGATTGGATTCGAGGATGTCTTGTAGGAGAAGATAGCGAGCGATGTGGCAGTGGAGGGTCCGCGAGACCTATGATACCGGCCGTTGATTAATCAAATAATGAATGCTTTGCACGAATCGCCCCCCCCCCCCCCCCCCCAAACCTTTTCAGCCAACGCGACCGTGTAGTCGTTCGAGGTCTATGTAGAACACGCCATCAGGTGTGGGCCACCCGATCGTCCGTTCTTCTATATACTTTTTTCTCCCTTCCAGGGTGAGGTACTCCGGATGCGTGAGACTAGTCTTTCCGGCATAGTCATGGTCGCTGGTGTAGAAGCTGGCGCCGAGCCTGTGCGTGTTGGCGCAATGAGCGTCCCCGTCGGCCGGGTCGGCGTACTACAGCATGTAGAAGCCCCGGGTGCGGGGATCTTCCATTGTCGATGGAGAGATAGATTACGGATTACGACATTGTCGGAAAAGCAGACTTCTTCACGGCAGGAAACGTCGTCGACCCCCATCGACGCCGAGTCCCGGCTGGCTTCCGCAACGACGGAGGCGGACAAAAACTATGTCGGGTCGGAGTGTCGATGGCGACGGGGTCATATTTAGCCAGCACTTTCCGTGCTGGAGAGCAATGCGGCCGAGTGTTGTGCCAATGTTGACAAGAACATGGAATCAGACACTACCCACCTCGTTTAAATGAGCGAAACGACGTATCGTACAATATAGCAACTGTTGGGAGTGTACATATTTGATCCGTTGGCCGCCTGAATAATGATGTGTGACGCCCACAGAGCTATTTATCGGTAGACCGTTGCTAGTGCTTGCCAATCCACCAATGTTGGTTCTACCTGTCATGTCATGTCTCTCTCTCAACGGCTCCAGGACACACGCATGCGCGAGAGCTACACTTCCTGTACTGGGACACCTATCTGGCGTATTGGGTTGGTGGACATAAGCCCGGCGATGGGGCCGTTTTCGACAGGGCGCCTCTCTCGTTCATGAGCGAGAGGACCGTGTTTGAGAACTGCTGGGAGGGGGAACCATGACGCAGCATCGCTCCGTTAGGGAAGTGAAAGGCGATATGTCCTTTACTTGCCGGCAGTGTTGGTTACCAGACCTCCAGACCCTATCAGCTGGACCGACCGGACGCCAATGGCTCCGGCAAACCATCGTTGGTTTGTGCTGGCGGCAGACCTTCGTTCGAGTCCACTTGCCGGAACCAGCCGTTATATCGGCATTCTGTGGAAATTGCCGTCGCTGGACGTCTTGCAAATTCATGGTGAGTTTCACGGTGGGTATGGTCGTATGGGGTGCTTATTATACCAGGTCGGCGATTGACAGCGATTCAAGAACACATGCACATGATGCCAGCCGGTGGGAACCCTCTGTTGAGGCCTGCGCACGTAGCAGGCATCTTCAAGTGTCAATAATGTCAATGGTGGATGAGGCTCTACAATGGATGCTCTGTCACAAATGTCAGCTCCGCTACGAGTAGAATGGCCGCTTGGGTCTATCGTCATGATCATTCGTCACATGCTGGGCCCCGACTGTCCGCCAGTGCGACACGACCACGCGGCCGGGAAACCATTACCTGTGCTCTTCTGACGTAGCAGCCCCCCGGGTCTCGGATCCCCAGGCGAACTCGGGGCGGTCATTCGTCGGTCTACACCCTCCCCACATCCCTTCCCAAGCCGTGGGTTTCGTCCCCCGGCATCGAGCGTCAGCGATGATGTGCTTTGCTTTGTGGTCGGTTGGCCTGGCCAGGCTCGGGGGACGAACAACAAGCTGGATGCGTGTCCCTCGGTTTGCTAAGCTAGCCGTGTGCAAGTGCAGGGCGGTCCACCCTCCATCCAGGCTCTTTCGCCAAGAGGATCGGTCTGTGGACTATCTCGGGATAAAAGGCAGTGTACAAGACCCCTTTTCTTGGCGCCGTGGGTCTTTTCTTAGAACACAGAGCTTGATACCTGGCAAGCTTGGATGGCCTCTTTCTTTTCGCCTCTCGTGGGGGGAGCAGGGGAGAGCAGTGAGAGATGGAGGGGGAAATGACAGCAACGAATTGCCGCTGCAGAGGCACGGTCTATCATGGACCCTGCACATTGACGGCCGTTGACGCGATGGTGGACGCACCAGACCGGTTTTCTAGGCCGGCGAAGCTTGTTTTTTTGTGCTGTTCGTCGGCCTTTGGAAGCTTGGATCGCTTGGATCTCGACCTTTTCTTGTCGAGTAACTACTGTGGGGGGTTGTACAGTAGGAACGGCGAGTCGCGTCGTGGCGCAGAGTTGGAGCATTGGCATGATCTGAGAAGCATCGCCGCTCAGATAAGGCCCTTCCTCTGCCGCCTCATGTCGTTCCGTTGTTCGATGGGTTCGTCAATCGTCAATGGGTGCGAATCGATGGGATCCAAGTGTTGGAGGTATTGGCTGCCGATGACGTAGCAGCCACCACCACCGACAGCGCCTTCTTGGCAGATAAGCAGGAAACCCACATTGGATAGGCAGGCAGGGTGGTGTAAGGCAGGTAGGTACGTCTCGCTCCCCCGTCCAAAACCGGAAATCTGTGGGTCATATGCGGTACGTACTCGTATACGTACAAGCTGCCAGGGGAAGTAGTGGGAAGGAACCGTCACACATGCTCACATTCGGCGACGAGATTAGGTCATGGTGGGTAAGTGCGATGGGGGAAGCGGGGGAGGGGTCCTTCCTCATGGACTGCGTGCGTTCGTTTTCCGGCTCGAGATGACGGAAGGCTTGGCCGTGAAAGGGTATGGTGTGAACAAACGTGTATATAAAGACTGAACAGGTCCTCGGTTGAACGGGAATTGAATGCATAAACCATCAAGCCCACATCAACCATATACAACTCAAAAAACCATCAACCTTCCCCAACTACAATCACAATGGATCAAATCAAGAACCTCGTCGGCGGAAGCAATGGTGCCTCCAGCACTGCCGGTGCCGGCCAGCAGAAGCAGGACCCTGTTGACAAGGGTGAGTCGTCTTCTCAATACCTAGAGCGCATCGAGGACTACACTGACGTTCACCCCCAAGCCTTCGACTTCGGCTCCAAGAAGGCCGGCCACGACTTCAACCCCAGCACCGATGAGAAGATCACTGACGCCGGCCGCGGCATCTACGAGAAGGTAACCGGAAAGAAGGTCAACCCCAAGATCTCCAACTAAATGTACAACACTGTATCGGGTTTAATGACGACATGGGATTACTGTCATGAGCGACGGCACTGTAGCATAGAACTACATCAATTAATGAAAGATTTGTACCTCTAACTTTAAATATGTGTGATGCACGCTATGATATGTTGTGATCCTCAGGTTCCAAGCGGCCCTGTTGCGGCCGCTAGATTGGCTATTGGCACAAGGTACTCAGGATATTAGCTCGTTATGGTCATCGTGCCAAAGGATAAATGAAGTGAACACTCGCTCGACTCCGGCCCGAAGAACAGCACGCGTACGAGGTCGCATCCGCTTGCTATGTCGCCATTGAGAAGTCATGGTTCATGCACTGCAACTCAGGGGTCATCTTGGGGTCCATGATGAGGAAATGTTTGCTCGGTCTTTTTTACAAGATTTCTTCCTAATCTGTTTCCCAGTGCGTACGAT